TTATTTTTTTATGACACAGCATACAAAAATACATACAACCCTAAATTTTCACCCCTCTATGCAGACGTAGTCGCGGGCAGCAGCTAGTCTAATATATAAAATGCTCGTGTCACGGGGTTCGAACTTGAACTCCTCCGAAACGGCTTTCCTGATTTTTACCAAATTTTATATGCATATTTAGTAGGTCTGAGAATCGGCTACTATCTATTTTTTATACCCCCTAAACATTTTTTTTTTTTTTTTTATTGTTTAGGCAAAATTATTTGTTTTTAATTTTTTTTATGACAAGTCATACAAAAATACATACAACCCTAAATTTTTTTATGCAGACGTAGTCGCGGGCAGCAGCTAGTCTAATATATAAAAGCTCGTGTCACGGGGTTCGAACTTGAACTCCTCCGAAACGGCTTTCCTGATTTTTACCAAATTTTATATGCATATTTAGTAGGTCTGAGAATCGGCTACTATCTATTTTTTATACCCCTAAGGGATAAGGGTTGTTCACAATTAACATTTTTTTTTTAATTTTTGGACAAAATTTTTTGTTTTAATTTTTTTATGATACAGCGTACAAAAATACATACAACCCTAAATTTTCACCCCTCTACGCAGACGTAGTCGCGGGCAGCAGCTAGTATTTTATATAAAATCGATATTGTATTCAATTTATTTATTAGAGGTCAATCGGTGAATCGGATGAGTTTCGCGAAACGTTCGGGAAACTTCAGCATATCTTTTCATCCAATATCCTTCAATGTTAGAAGACTAAATTCTTTCTTATTTCTTTTTTAAAAAAGAATTTTTCAATGATTGTGTTGCCAGTGATGACCTACGGAATCGAGACATGTTCCTTCACTACAGGCCGTATGAGAAATTCCTAAGTTGTTTGGCGAGCTATGGAGCGGACTATGCTCGGTATTTTTCTGCATGATAGAGTTTGTTCGATCGCTCGTTCGACCTGTGCAAAAGTACGGGAAGCCTATAGATGCAGGTGGCTCAGGATAGTACTTAGTGGCAGTCTGTGGGAGAGGTCTTTGTTCAGAAATGGACTCGAACAGGCTGAAATTATGATGACGTTGATGAGATTAAATTAATGCGGTGACAATATTCAAATACTTCTAGAAATGAAACGCATATTATTTTAACTCAAACATGTTCAAGTATGATCTAAATTTTTATGTATTTCCATAGTTATTGTGTAATTATGTTTAATTTATTATTTGAGTAAAAGCGACAGACGTAGTTTAACCTGATGTTGACTATGGATGCCCCTGGACGTCTCCATACAGTTGCAGTTGCGTTGCCAACTTACTAGAGACTGTGCCCGGTACTCAATGTTCTTTTAATAAATGACGCGTCCATACTGCGCGGCGTTTAAAAAATGGTCCGCTTTACATTATTTGACATACATAAGTGACATAAGTGAATGTGACAGATGATATAGAACGTATGATACGGTAAGAGATAGCATTCTATAGAATTGCAATTGAATTATCTGGTGAGTGAGGTAGCCGGAGCCCAATTTTCAAAAGGTTGTCAACGCATCTGTAACCCTCGGGTGTGGCAGATGTCCATGGGCGGCGGTATTCACTTAACATCAGGTGAACCGTCTGCTCGTTTGGCAACTTTTCACATTAAAAAAAAACCTACAGTTTGATTGATTATTTGCTTTTTTTAGATTATGAAGTCTTGGTGCCGTGATCGTAAAGCTTCCCTCTGGGATCCGTGGCTGCGATTCCCGATTGGTGTGAATTACAGTGTTGAGGGTATGGGTGTTTTATCACGGGGCGTATCGACATCAAGGAAGCGGCCGGTAGTACTAAAATCCAACATGATACACATTATGTGCCGACCCCATCTTGGTGGGCTAAGTGCATGAGAAAGAAGGAGCCCGGTTATAGATTGTCTCTGTTTCTATATTTATTACTACTCTACACATCAACATATTATACCAGGTCAGTTTTTAAAATACTTAAACTAGAATAGATAGAATAGAAATAAGAAATATGATTTTTTTTTCAATAAGGGAGTGAAATAATTATTTACCTGTGAATTGGCAAAATTAAATAATAATGTCGTCATAAATATTATTCAACTAATACTTGTTTTTGTATTCGAAATTTTAAAAACACGTTAATGTATTTAATCTTGTCTCAATAACGAAACAACTGTGAATTACATATTATTTTTTTGTACTGTACTACCTTTTTACTGCAATTTGCAACTACTAAATTATGTGTCGACTAAAAAAGTAAGTGGATTGCCAATTTCGATTGAAAGAGACTTTTGATGTAAAGATGACGGAGATTATAGATTAATATAATGATTTATTTCTATAACAAGTACTTGTTATAGAAACTTTGATAAATCGTGGTGATTTAAAATTTGTTTCTTTTTTAATAATGGTGTATCATTTGTTTCTTTATAATTAATCTCTAAATATTTTGCTTGCAAAATACAAAAGGAGTTTTTATGGAATTTATCCATAAAGAAAGTTATGCATGCTAAACTTACACACACGCACACACTAGTTCATAAATTTTGCGGGTATACTATTAATTTAATTCGCCCTTGGTTATGAATGTGAACGTAATAATCGGCAAACGGTGACCAAGCTTATAAAAAATCTAAGAATGAAATAGCTTATCGACGAATAGATTGGCGCAGTTTCTCAACAATAGAGTTCTGCGCCCAGGGGCGTGGGTATTGTCCTTGTACAACTTATATTTATATAACTAAAGACGCTTATAAACACAAGTTGGTTTATTGGTAATCCCTAGTGTACTTTGTGTTCTTATTGTTCAGGAAAAGTTTTTTTAAGAAAAAAAATATAAAAACAACTAATGTTCGCAGACAATAATAACCGCGTAAATTACTTTATATGCATAAGGTCATAAAAACCCACTAAATACGAAAGACTGAAGTGTAGAATATACGAGTAGTTTTTTTATTGCAGAACTACTACTACTAACGAATTAAAGTTTATAACATTAAATTCATTTACGAGTTACCGAATAGTATTCAATTAATCATTATGATAAAAATAATAATTTCTTTTTTATTTTTTATTAGTATTTTATCACTAAAGTAAACGTCATTTATTTATTACACTGAATTCAGTTTGAATTGGTTGTGTTTTAATTACTTGTAAGTATGTAAATCTTAAATTAGTCGATGCTCCTAAACGCTAGATTACCTTTAGGCACATGCAATGAGGACAAAAGAAGACAACCACATTATTATTTAAATACTGGATGGAGGACGTTAACATTATAGCTTCTAAAAATGTTTCGTAATCATTTATATTGCCTTTGTGCCTTTTTATATAAAAAGTGACTACAGATGTAGGTTCTTATGTTGCATATTTGTGTTATATATTTTTTTCACATTTACGTGTCACCCCAACTTTTGTTTCTTTGGATCACTATCAAATAAATGCCACAGACGAAATCCAGGGTTTCACGGTCGGTAAAAATTATAACTAATGGACTATTTATTAATGCCATTGGGCAAGTCACGGATATAAAGGTATAATCCTCTATCCGGCTTAATTACAAATTATTATTGGTTACGGCTGCTTGTTACTAATAGTAAAGTAGACAATACATCAATTTATTATTCATTTTCTTTTCACTAATAATAAATGACGCGAATATAAATTAAGTCGCCGCCATTTTTCAATCTGGTTTATTTATTTCAATTTTTGGTCAAAGAATCAATTTGTACAAGAATTTCAGTATTTTAATGGTAAACTGATATTATTTGTGTCATCCTGATACACGCACACAAATATAGAGTCAACGCCAGTGTAAAACAACGCATATTGTGCCATAAAATTAAGTCGCGAGACGACACGCCATATTTATAATATTTGGATATTATTTTCGTTTATTTTATATTTATTTATGCTAATATATAATTAAAGGTAAAACTTATTAAAATGAATTGTTAATTATAATTTAAGTTTATATTTAATTTAAACTAAACAAAATGCATCACTTATATTTGCACATATTAAAAAAATATTTAAATTTAATTCTTAAAAATAAAAATATTTAAAGTAAAGAAATTGAGATTTATTGATTAAAAATTAAGAAATGTTTAAAAAAAAAACAACAAAAAGACCGTCCCCGCCGCGACAGCGTTTCGCTGCCGTGACCAGGATTCGAACCTGGGTTACTACGGCCACAACGTAGGGTCCTAACCACTAGACGATCACGGCTATCGGGGCGTGTGGAAGCGTTAGCGAATATTTCGATTGTATGCAAAACTTACAGTTATAATAGAAAGCGTGTCGAACGTTGCATTGGCACTTTTTTATTATAACGAATAACCGGCTACTTTTTATAGAGTTCGTTGTGCCCACGGCTTCGCTCACTTCAACATTGGTCTTGAATCGAATACTTAAATTATAAATAAATTACTTCAATTATTTTGTTTATTGGTTCTTTTATATAATTTTGAAATTTCATAATGAATTCTAAAAATTGTTTTACTTACGTAATCAATGTAGTGTTTTCCTTTAGTAAAAACAGTTGTATTTATGAAAATGTAAGTTTTCATTTCTCACATAACACTTGAAGATCACGTCCCTAAAAATTAATAAAGAACAAAAGTTTAAACACTACATGTTTATTGTATTCATATTTCTGCATTCTTACTAATATTATAAAAGCGAAAGTTTGTATGTATGGATGGATGTTTCTTACTCTTACACGCAAATACTACTGAATGGATTTTATGAGTATCTGTCTTTCTGTCTTAATGTTACAGCTTCAGCCTATTCTACGCAGACGTAGTTGCGGGCAACAGCTAGTAGGTTATAAATATTACCTATTAAGATAAAGCCCAAATGAATTTCTCCTCAAATAAGTAAAATGTTAGGCCATATTTCATACTCCAATTTTTCTGGATTAGTGACTGACAGTAAGTTTTGCGCACCATAGAATAACCACATACTTTGGTTCCAAAAAAATGAAGTTCTTTGCAGCGAAATCTTACAAAACCTATCAAAAAAAAAAAAAAAAGAAAATCAAAGGAAGATTTATTATCATAGCATTTTATAAAGAGTCCACTTGTATAAGTCACATAAATACTATTTATTAAAAATGATTACTCAATCACTGTCAAATACCACGGAATAAAGAAAATAAGTTTTTTCTCTTCCGTGGTCGGATCACGCCATCATCATCTTGTCAGTATTGTCCATAATTGATTTTCATTTTGTAATATAATTGGAACTATAAAATATATAAACAAAAATGATTATGAAAATATATTAATAATTTGGAATGATAATCGTGATTATTATTTTTAAGTGAAAATGTTAAGATTTTTATTTTATCGCATCTTGAATTTGATTTTACTATATCATGTTATTTTAGTGTTTGTAACATTCAAATACTTTCCGAAAATCATAAGTAATATAAAGAAAAACATTCGTGTGTAAATTAATTCGCTATTCAAACTAATGAAAGCTAAACGAACCAATGTAAACAATTAGTTTCCTCATTTTAATAGTAAATTGTTACTACTAGGTAACCCTCTAAACAGTTGACACGAATGTATAACGGTGCCGTAATTGACATCACATGTCAGAATTCAAACAGAATCTGTTATGAGGCGGCATGGCATCTAGACGAATATAATTGTTATAATCTAAGTTTAAACAAAAATATGATGTAGATTTTTTGCTTTAGTGAAAAACTTTCAGTACTATATATATAATTTGAGAAGATTTGAACAAATTGTTTACGAACTCTATTATTCATTATATGTTATTGTATAAGATATTATTAAAATAATATGATATAGACTTGTTTATTGCACATAACAAAATATTTGTACAGACAACGCTAATAATATATGCAGTTCTAAAATGCCGGCTTCGTTCTCGGTTATTTCATGCACTCACTGTTTTCAATCTGTTGAGGTAAATTGCTTTTCTTAGTCGATCTCGATACGCAAACAGTATCGAAGAAAGTATAACACCCTGCAACTTCTTATACGCCTGAGGAGTTTCAATTATGCAGGATATATAGTTGCTTCGAAGCTTCACCTGGATTTGAAACGAATTGAAATAAGCAAAAGCGCAGCACATCCTAAATTGATAAGCTCCCACGGATTCTCAATACTTACGATTATTGGTACAGTCCTAAATTGATAAGCTCCCACGGATTTTTAACACTTACGGTTATTGGTACAGTCCTAAATTGATAAGCTCCCTCGGATTTTTAACACTTACGGTTATTGGTACAGTCCTAAATTGATAAGCTCCCACGGATTCTTAACACTTACGAACTTTGTACGAGCTTCACCAAGCTTATCAAGTGTTAAAAATAGCCAAGCGTCATTGCGTCTGTTTTACAGGTTTTATAAAATATTGTGTTATAAATTTAATATACAAATTTCTTTAAACATGTCGGCAGGACGGAATACTCTTTGGTGCACTTCCACTGAAAGAGAACATTAAAAAATCCTCACCTTCAGGAACATTGCAATTGAACAAAAGATGGCTTTTTAAAACTTATCACGATCTGTATATTACTTTGAACCGATTACAAAAAAGGAGGAGGTTCTCAATTCGGTTGTATTTTTCGTTTGTTACTTCAGATCTTTTAGATTTATAAACCGATTTGAAAAAATATTTTTGCATTGGGTTCGGCTTAGATCCAACGTTGATGAGATGCATCACTTAACGCTTATGAATTGAATAGAATGTATTTAGACTAAGCAATATATTTTTTTTGTCTATGGCCGGCTTATCTAACATTCCGACTGAAAAACAAAAACCTAAGGTATGAAAATAAGTGGACGTAAATAATTGAAGAAATCAACGTTATAATAATAGATAGAACAAAGAGTCAGGAAAAGAGAGTATTAAAAAAAATTAACTTAAACAGCATGTAATAAAACGTAAAAAATAGCCATACAAATGGGTTTCATTCACAATAGATGTCACTTGCGATGCCACCTTTGTTTTTTACGTAAATGAGAGTAAAGCTCTCTCAATGAAATGTTTACTGAATTAAACTTGTTGACAAAGTAACCGGCAAGAAACTCAGCATTTATTATTCTGATTATCTATACTTACATTATTTCTTTAGCTTTTATGAAATGTTATCGAAACACGCACAGCATCAAATCCAGTTAAAATTGTTTCAGTATTTTGATTCAATGGATATTCTTTCTGTCGAAAATACTAGTAAAATACTATATTTATGATATTTTAAAATGTTTCCACTCTATACGATAGAAAACTCATCTCAATTATGGTTTATGTTATAATACCACCTGGCGTTTTTTGATCTTGTAAATTTTCTGCCATCACTGCAAGTTTTACGATTGCCTCTGAATTTTATAGAGCCGAGTTAGTTTACGATCGCCGAGAAATTTTCAATACGACGCACATTTTTCAACTATCGTGTTCATATTTTATGATATTGTTTGCCATGTTGGTAGATATTTTTTGATTAATTTGCTTATTCTGTAATGATTTGATCAATTTTGTTTAAGTTATTTTGTGACTATATCACATTATGAAAATATTAAACAAAAAAATATTAATATTAGAAATAGATATGACATGCTTTTCTTTTCACTTGTTACTTATTTTGTATTTTTTGTTTTCAACGTCAGTTATGTCTTCTTCTTCTTTTTAACGTCAAGGAATACTGTTGATAGAAGATTTTGCCGATGTAGTTGCAGTTCGAATTCATCCCACTGTCAGAAAAGTAGACGTTTACAATGCACACACCATAGCTAAGATCGCAAAAACACCGTAGTAATTGTGTAAATACGATGTTATGTGGATGGTATTGGCGTGTATTGGTTGTAACACTAATCAAATTTCTGGGATTCCTTATGTGTAAAAATATATTCAAAGACCAACAAAAAAACCTCCCCGGCGGGGAATCGAACCCCGGTCTCCCGCGTGACAGGCGGGGATACTTACCACTATACTACCGAGGACTGTCTTATAAGCTTTAAAGTTAAGATATGTTTTCAATACACTAGTTAATTATTTATTACTAATAGATTATTTAAGTTGGCAAAATTACTAACCTATTTACATTTATTTAGAATAGCCCAAATAACTTATGTTAAACCTTTAAAAATCTTTAATTTTTACGACAAAATATCCTGGAATTTTAGCGAAGAGTCAGGTCGAAAGTAATATTCCAAATGTATATCTATTAAATTAATTTTATTTAATTTACTATATTGATAGGAAATTTTGATGTCTCCGTGGCGCAGTTGCCAAGATATTGACTTTGGCGTCTGGAGTCCATTACTACACGGGACAACTATTTGTGTGACCCACAGATAGTTGTGTCTTATCTGGGTGTATGTCAGCATGAATTTTATGTTTGTTAAACGTCCTTACAACACAGGATAATGTTATCTTAAAGTAAGGGCCAAGTTAAAAAAATGAAAAGAATAGCATTACTTATAGCAATTTAATATATCGTTTAATTATTTTTATATACTTTTATATAATTTTTGTACAACATCGTAGGAAGTGAACTCACTGGCTACCTTACAAGGTATTTTTAAGAGATAAAGAAATAATAAAGACGCCATTTCGCTGTCGGAAATTCGCTAGCGATCCGAATTATTTCCAGCAAATACAGTACTGTCGGCGACGCTAGGAATCTATTACCTTATTCCGAACGACAATCGAAAAATGGGCGTTAAAGATAAGAGCAAACAATTGAGGGGGAGTTTGGCATTCGTATTCAAAGGGAATGGAAGTCTATTTATCTTGAGAGGTCCACCATCTATCTACCTGTCTTAGAGTAACAATAATACGTATGGAGAATGTGGCAAAAACTAAAAAGAAGTGTTTTCTTTGGCAAAATGCCGTTTGTTCCAAAATAATTTGTTAGAATGCTCATAAATTGTGTAACACTTTGATGGGCGAAATGCTGTTTGTTCCAGAATACTTTGAATGCTAATAATGTTAAAAAATATGCTAATAATAAGATATAAGTCCTGAACTAAACAACGCTTGTACTATGGGTACTAGATAACTGATAAACATACTTTTTCTTCTGTAAATAAATAAATATTATAAATACATAAACACCAAGATACTGGGAAAACACCATGTTCATCACACAATATTTGTCCAGTAGTGGGGATCGTACCCATACCCTCGGGCGCAAGAGGAAGGTGTACTACCCACTACGCCAATCGGATCGTCAAACACACAACCACTTTCTTGTGTGTGTTCTAATGTGATCTCTGACAAGCTGTTGGTCACGTACATCGAAGGCGACAATAGCGTGTATAATGTATAATACCGATGACCAACTCTAGAGGTTCGGGCACCCAGATCACTTGGCAACCTTAAAATAACGAAAAATATGTAATAAATGTAGCGTAAGCTCTTTAACAACCTTGAAGACCAAGGCAGGGAAAAAGAAGTCAAAATAGTATTAATCCACTTGAGTCTTAGTAAGTCCAAGGAGCACGAACTTCCATACGTATTCTTTCCACCAAAGGAGCGACAGAATAAAGGACCTTTCAAAATTCTGCAACTTACTCTACTGGAACACCTTCCAAAAAAGCAGAAGGTTAAACCTGACGTGATGTAATTTTTTTTTAATTTTTAATCACCAATGATATTAAAAAATACCATACAGGAAGGGTAACTCCGCTGATAAGCAGTTTCTACAATAGTAACTGACTTACCGACTCATCTTCTCATTCACAAGTTTATTACAGTAAATTTTTCGTGTCAGAATTTCGGGAATATCAGTATTAAATAATTAACCCTTTTATCACTTGTATGTATACCTATAATTTCACCGTACATTATGCGTATGTATTCGAATAAATGACTCCGTGGTGCAGTTGCTAAGGTATTAGCTAAGTCGTTGGGGGTAGGGGGTTCGATTCTCACACGGGACAACTGTTTGTGTGACCCACAGATAGTTGTTTCGCATCCGGGTGTTTGTCCACGTGAAATTTATCTCAAAGTCCTGAAGTACAGGCAAGTCTTTAAAAAATTCAAAATAAAATCAATGAAATTCTTTCCATTTGTTTAATCTAATCTATATTTTCAAAGTAACTCATTACATACATACATATCTACAAACGAATAAAATTTATCACTACATTAGATTACACCAAGAAATTAGCTCACTTGTACATTGTTATATTATGTACAATTTTAATTACGTCTCGTCATTTCGTGCGATAACCAAGTGGTCAAACCACTGAAACAACTAGATGTTAGCGTGATAGAGATCAGCTGAAGGGCAGCATTGTTGAACCTAAAAACCATAAATACCGCAACTCGAAAATTCGATTTATTTCCACCGATGCATCGTATTGTGAAAACGTAACGCGGTGTTCGTAGTTGTGATAACCTATTTATCGATTGCACGAAATGTTGAACGCTCGCCTATTTATCTTCGGGCTATCCTTGTTTATATTGCAAACGGAGTCGCGTGAGTATTTTGTCGTATTATACATGGGATGGATGAGCCGGTGCCGCTTTTGCTAAACTACTGGCTTCGGCATCGGGTTCGTGGGTTTGATTCCCGCACGGGACAAGTATTTGTGTGACCCACAGATCATTGTTCCAGATCTGGGTCAGGTAGGCGGCCGGTTGTGAGTAACATAGTCAAAACCGCTTACAGCATAATTCACATCATGTGCCGACCCCACCTAGGTGGGATAAAGGCAGGAGGATGATTATGACCGTTGCTGTGCGTTTGCGTTCTTCCACACGCAACACACGAATTTGTACACCGAAACCAGATAAACATTGGACGTCAACATTCCCGAGAATTTTTTACAACCGAGAGTAATAAGAATGCTTATAATCCAGCCGAATTAAAATGTCTTAGTTTGTTATTACTACGCTGCCTCATTATTTTAGATCGTCTAAAACTGTGCAACGACGTTTTCGCTGTCTTAATTAAACCAAACTAGAGAAGCACATATATTTTTCATATTTTATGGTAGTGCTATAGCATACATAAGAGATCTTTCTCAACGATAAGGCCAGCTCGGGGAAGTATCGGCGTACGAAGTACGGCGTTTCATCCGGTTACTGAAGTGTCCAGATTGTGGGTATTCGTAGTAGTCAGTTCAGCTACCCATTATTTAAAAAAAAATTTATACATAAGTATACCTATATATTTTTATATAATTTAAAAATAAAAAAAATATTTATTATTTTAAAGTAAATTGTATATAGTTATACCATGCTTACTTTTTTTTTAAGATAGTTGTATATTTGATAGTTTTACAAAAAACTGAGGCGATGACGATATGATTAATACACTCCATTTCTTCCATTCATTCCTTGATAATCTTTGTTATGACACAACATGTCACTTAAATACGAATATTATTGAATGTCATCGGAACATTAGTGATAACGACCGATAAAACGTTTTTATAAAGAAACTTATGTCAAAATATCGTATATCGTAAGGTGTGACCCTATATTTTGATTTTTTTGATGTTATACTCTTTAAAGAACGTTTTGAAACAAATGTGAGACACAAATTTTTACGACACGCACACACTACTACACCGACGTGATGAAAGCGGCTAACTTCACGGTATTAATACGGCAGCTTTTTTGTATTTACCGATAATTCCAAGTTATTTATTAAAACTGTTCAATCGCAATTAATGTCTTTTTCACAAACAAAGAGTACTGGGACAGGGGATGAAATTTTTAGTTACTTTTCTTTTGTTACGCTAATGATTTATAACTTCTTACGTGAGTAGATAAGTACACACATATTTTTTTTATTACACAGTGAACTACGAGAAATGTAAAATACCACCACCGGAGAGGCACTGCATTATCGAGTCTGTTGTGGAACACCGATGGCCTCATACTAAACGGTGAGTACCAGGGTAAAGAGAAATTATATGTTTAAGTTTTGTATTAAGTTTCTATATTTTCTCTGCCCATAAAATGAAATATAAAAATTGGTTTTTCTACAAATTTTGTACGAAAAAATTTTCACCACCTCGGGAGTGGAATCTGCGTCTTCCAGTATTGCGCCCAGAGGCTTTAACTATTTTAACTAAATTGCTTATTTCGCTTTTTAAGTGCCATACGCTAGATGCGTATGGCAATTAAAAACTTTTTATGACTTACAACGATAATTAAAACTTGAAACTTTTTACATCTGCCTCTTTTTGTCTCTACGTCGCCCATAGGTTGACTAGTAGAAAATGCCTTAGGCATTAAGTCCGCCTATGCTCAATGTTCTAATGATGAAGCTATTTAAAAACCAGTGTGGGGAAAAACTTTTTATTGATTTACTTTAAACACAAATACTTGTCCCTTGGACCCTTGGCGCCGCTTAGCAACTACGCCACCGCGTCATTGCAACATTAATTAATAACTTAAAGTTCTAGACAACATTTCAATAACACGGATAATATGGATATCTCTATATTTATGAAAATCATGGCTGGATTTATTAGTGATCTAATACAATTATGTAGTTTTCATAGACAAGGGTAATTTTATGACAGTACCAGTTTCTCTGATCGATCATAAAGTGCCTCGACTGGCATCAAGGTTGTGACCGAGCTAGTATGTTTACCATTTAAGATTACATTTCTACTTACCGCTAGAAGGGGTAGTAGTCAAACACAAGCCAGTTATAGAGTTAAAAAAAAGATTTGTTTGAGAAACAATGAGAAAATAGGTGACATAGGTGGCAAAGAGGTTTAATAAATAAAAATATTAAATGACAGTCACAGGACAAACTAGACCATGAACGATGAAAAGGGTTCAAACGTCCGGAATTACAAATAATAAAGGGCGATAAAATCCGTAAATTAGTTTCATTTAATACTTATCACATTCGCGTAAAATCAAGAAGTCAAATAAAAATAGTCCTTTTCCTTGAATAAAAAACATGTGATATTTTTATTAGTTATTTCCTCTCTAACTACGCATCAAATTTTACCTCAAATTTCAAATTATGAGTTCGCCAATTCAATTGTACAGACATCAATCATCTTACACGATGAAAAATCGTCACAAATACCGTAGCATTTGTAACGATTTAAAACACGTATGTTTTCGTGATGATTTATCAACATAACATAAGCCGTCGATTATTGTAATAGGTTGCGTATCTTCTTCGTCAGATATTTCTTCAACTGGGACTCGCAAAAGTGCATCCTGATAAGATGGGCGAACCACTGCGAGCTGCCACCTCCGGACGTCAACAACTTTGGCAGCGAACTCATCTGCAGAGACGTCTGTAGTGGCTGGGCGTGACGTAGAGATATATATCCACTATGCAGATATCTTGGAGCGTCTCCTAAATTTCAGTACAAATCACAAATTACAAATACTTACATCGCTCTTTGTTTAATTTGTTTCCATTTCTGTCCGTAAGCTTAGACGGAGATGTTATTATCGGCTAATTTTCTTTTAGACAATTTAGGGCGAAAACTATATTCATCGCTATCATCTATTTTTTTTCATGTGAAAAGTTGCCAAGCGAACAGGCGGTTCACCTGATGTTAAGTATATACCGCCGCCTATGGACATCTGCTACACTCGAGGGTTGCAGATGCGTTGACAACCTTAGGAAAAATGGGCTCCGGCTACCTCACTCACAAGACGAAACGCGAAAGCATTATACTTCCACTTCACGCCGGTCTTCGGCGAGGTCGTGGTACTTATCCGGAAGAGCAGTACTTTGTGTACGCCAATTCGACACAGAAACACCCAATAATCTGCGATTCTCACAAATGCTTTTCACGTGTGGGTCTCTAACCTACGGACTACGGCGCTAAAGCCTTAAGTAGCAACTGGGCTAACGCGGCAGCTTAACTTATAATTTTTGTATCTACATTTAGAGCAGCACGGTCTCAAATTTGGATATCAATGTATTTATCTTTATTCGTGAAAATAAGACTTAATATGCTCCTGAAATTATGACTACTAAAAGTAAATGTAACATGAGATGTAGAATGAGAACACATTTTGTATACACTTCATATTGAAAAATTTGTTCATAGAATTTAAAGTAACAAAATGTATTAAAACACTATAATAGTCCTTCCCTATTTTCAAAGAAAGCATTGGTACACAAAGTTTGTAGTTACGAGACGAACTTTTTGAAGCTTCAAATAAGTTTTGGGGTTCCGTACCCAAAGGGTAAAACGGGAGGACCCTATTACTAAGACCCCGCTGTCTATCTGTCTGTCCGTCTGTCACCAGGCTGTATCTCATGAACCGTGATAGTTATACAGTTGAAATTTTCACAAATGATATATTTTTGTTGCCGCTATAACAACAAATACTAAAAACAGAATAAAAATATTTAAGTCGGTCTCCTATACAACAGACACGATTTTTCTCCCGTTTTAATAGATAATGGTACGGAACCTTATTTATTAATACCCTTTCAGCGCGAGTCCGACTCGCATTTAGCCGGTATTTTCTTCTCTTATTGGCAGAATGTTGTTGACGTATGTCACTCAAAGAGATAACTGTTAATAACTTTCGTGACGTTTATCAGCGCTTTCTAAGACGCATATTAATATTGCATGTCATTTTTCATATGAAATATGATAATGGCCGGAGTCTAGACGGCATTGAACCGTTGTAACACGTGTCGCTCTAATATTGAGATGTGTTCTTAACCTTGTAACGGGTCTTAAACCTAAGTTTAAAACTTTACATATTAGATTTCTTTGAATATTGTACTAATATTGAAATAATTATTGATAATTGGACGACTAATCTATGTTAATCATCTATTTAGCAGATGACTAGGTACTGAGAAATACTTGTGAATGAAAAACGAAAGTGTCGCTACTCTAGAATTTTACGATAAACGCGTTTAGATCCTTGAAATAAAATTATTTTAAAATTTTTTATTTTATTTTCCGTAAAATCTTTTTTTATATGTATGTACTTAATACGATTATTCGTGTTCGGAATCATAACATAATATAACGCCATCTCAGCATCTCACATAGTTTTTGGCTACAAGTAGACTAACATTCAATAGAAACAATTAGTGTCAATAAAAGTTGTCGAGATGGCGCTATATAAACAGGCTATCGATTCATAATGAGAACGTTTCTGACTTTTATAATAGACAAATTTAAAAAACAAAACCTGATCTGAACAGAAAATTAAATCCAAGTAATTTTAGATCACTGTACAAATTTTTGGCGGTCAATTGCCCAACTACGCAAATTAAACTCGGTACCCTCTCATTTATAACGCATGTTAATCTAACATAAGGCATTATTTTACTATTAAGAGTTCTCAAATCATTTTTGTACACTTACTACCCAGGGATTACATTATTTATTAGGTAATGTGTAGCAAAATTAGCCCTTAACCGATGGGGAAGGTTTCTTGAGTGGCAGCATCGTACTAGCCCCCTACTAGAAGCGGGAAGTCGATGTATGCAGGTGGATGCCGAGCTAACTTTTGAGTGATTTTTTTTTTCTTTGTTCTTAAGTGTTTTTAATGTATTTTTCAATATTTGTCAAATTAACTTACAACTTATTAATAAAATAAAATAATTAAATCTTGGTGGTATTTTTGGCAAAAAAGAAAATATAGAAAATCCGTTAAATTCTTAAATTATGACATAAGATTCAAGAAAAGAAAGCAAATCAAAACAAAAACTTGTATTAGGAGAAACGGCTGCAGATGGCGCTATAATCAATAAACTACTAACATTGCTGTTTCACAAACTTAATAAATATCGATTTTTAAGTTTTGACACCGTTTATTTATTTTAGCTCATAAAGCTGAGGATAGGTACATTGATTAAAATCACTGGTAAAATCAATCTTTAGCAATTGTACCATAGACAACTGCAATAATGCAATGTCACGTCTTATGTAACGTCAACCGTCATCTTATTCAGTTTTAATTTTTTCAAAAACAAAATATAATTTGAAATGAAAATATTCTATTCAATTACATATATAATATATATATACTTTTTAATTGTTGATTTAAAAATCAAATGGTGAGAATCGTGTACACTTCTTTAACGCTAGATAATTTTAATGAATATTGTTTACATAAAACAATCACTATAAGAATATATTCACTAAAACGTGCACTTTCCAAAGTTTGTTATTTTCATCGTTTACCGTAATTATTTATAAAAATAACATGATACTAAATTAATATGAAACATTTATTATAAACAGTGATTTTATTAATCTAATTAGGAAACAGTATGATTATAAATTTGTCATATTTACATAGCTTGAAATTATATCGTTGCATAAAAAATTATTTATTGTTGTAGAATTTTCCATTATAAAGACGGCTGTTTGATCTTTGATTTTGGCCTATTTATAATGTAGTTACAGTACTCTCTGGTATCAAAGTCTATATTATCTATAGTTGAAAAAAATTGAAGTTGGTACTTTACCTTCGCTTTTGTAGTAGCGTTTCAGAAAAACTATGGCTAAAATGCTAATATAATTTGTTGATATAGAAATCGTGCCTCAGATATTTCTACAAACACGTGCAGTGCAAAGACATTTTGATATTTTTTATAATTATATGATTACCTGCTTTCATTTGTCAAATTGCGCTAGACCGCATATATAAAATGGCAGCCCTACCACGTAGAATAATCAAAGAGACACAGCGTCTTATGCAGGAACCCGTGCCGGGAATTAGCGCAGTACCTAGTGAGACCAATGCCCGCTATTTTCATGTAATTGTGACCGGCCCTGAAGATTCTCCTTTTGAAGGAGGACTTTTCAAACTAGAACTTTTCCTCCCAGAAGACTACCCTATGTCGGCACCTAAGGTTAGGTTTATTACGAAAATATACCATCCGAATATAGACCGGCTGGGTCGTATATGCTTGGATATATTGAAGGACAAGTGGAGCCCCGCTCTACAAATTCGTACGGTGCTGCTATCAATCCAGGCGTTGCTGTCCGCGCCTAATCCCGATGACCCGCTGGCGAACGACGTAGCCGAGCTGTGGAAGGTCAATGAAAGCGAAGCTATCCGAAACGCGAAGGAGTGGACACGGAGATACGCCATGGACAACTGAGCGGTCGCGCGCCCCGCGCCGCCCGCACGCACCCATCAGTGCCTATCCCACGCGCGACTTGAAGGGGACGAATATAATAAAAATATCATGATTCTAAGAGTGCAAGTTATGTTACACATCCTAGCCAGAGTAACTTGTGAAGAGACAATTGTGAAGAAATTGGTATTAACGGTGGGCGACGGCGCGGCGCGCGGCCGCCGCCTGCAAGTTAACCTCTAGCATTTCTACATAGCCTCGCCAGGGCACCCGGTGCAGTCCGACCCAGCCCTCTCATTGTTTACCCCCTCACTTGTAGCTTCGTTATGATATTAGGTATGCATATTTTTTTACTATAATTAAAAATAGTGAATATGGAATATCAGGAGACTTAAATGTATATATTTCATGGTTATCAGATTTGGTTAATTTTATACAAAGGATAGTGCATATTGTCACAAAGTTCAATGCCTTTGTAAGAATTTTATCTCCTCTGTTTGAGTGCAAAACATGCTGGAATATAGAATATATAATATCAGTTTGCCGATCTCTAGTGATACTGAACATTTTTTTTTATAGCAAGTTAAAAAGCCTTAGGTAATTTATTTCCTCATTATTAAACTCCCATGAGCATGATTTTATTGTGAATCTTTTATGTACTATTTACGTCTTGTATAAAAAGTTATCAAAAATTGTATTTATGTAAATTTAATTTGGCTTTGTGAGCAAACTTCAAAATACATAATAAACAAAAGCTAAATTTTATTTTATTTATTATATCATTTAATTTTTATTTGTAAAATGTGATTCTAACTAACATTTCACTTCAGTTGTGGTATTGAAGTATATTTCTAGTGTTATAACAATCAAATAGTTTTTAACTTGTCATATAGCATTAAAAAAGGACATATTTGTGTAGTATAAATTAATAAAAGAACATTGTAGTGCAAGGATTTTAGATTAGGAAATTATATTTAGTACCATAAATAACCGTTAAATAAGTGACTATAATATTTTTATTAATTAGTTTGTATGCATTTCACCTGATTGTGATGACAACCATCCAGAAACTTGCACAACAACCAGTAATTTTGCCAATTTTTAAGACTAGGTTCCGGTTACCGTATTCTCAGCTGAAACAATTAAAAATACTACTATATAAATAATAAATAAAAATATCTTTATTCACATAGACGCTTGCGCGTTCTTATGAAACGTCAAAATTTTACAAGAAATTATTCTTCTGCAAAGAAGGATAGGTCAAGTTACTACTACAAAAACTGCCATGTGATCTGCCAGTGAACATCACTGTGTTTGTACTTGACTTTTCTTGAAAACTCATATTTTCACATTAATTACAGCTTTAGTGGATGCAATTAGTTATTGCTTTTATTTGGCATAATATTATGTGATATAAGTATGATATGGTTAGTGGGTTTTTAATGTGAGAATGTGGCAAGTGATAACCGCCACCCATGGACATTTATAACACTTTTAGGATTGCAGATGTCTTGCCACCTTTTAATTAAGTGGGCACTGGTTACTTTACTCTCCAAATGATATGCAGAAGTATAACACTTCCACTTCACACTGGTCTTCAGTGAGATTGTGGCACTTTCCTGAACGAACCTGCCCATTCATGCAACAGCAAAGACTTACACAAAACTGCCACGGTCATAACATATTAAATACATATGATTAAAAATATTTATTTAGAATATATAAGACAAAACACATTAATCAATAGGAATTTCCAAGTCGTTGTACTTAGTGGTTTTCTTTAAGTATTGGTTTTTCCAATAGATATCAACACAATGTTACAAATGTAACGACATGCAACCACTTAAGTTCATTCTTTATAGTAAAACAGAATACAATTACTTTCAAATTTTGCTTATTTTTTGCATACATAATAACATGGTATGGATATATCTTGTTTTGATACTGAAGCTTATGTAACATACATTAAGATTTGAATCTGCATGCTTTTTAGCTCATGCTCATGCAATTATTAATTAAATTTTTTACATATATATTTTATTTTTTAATAGATGATATGCACAAAATGACAAATTGTAGTCATTTATCCTACACAATATATGTAATTTATGGTCTCCGGGTTTACCTCAACTTTCCCTAGGCTCAATTATAATGAGCCTGTCATCTGACTTCAGATGATGATCAGTACCTATGGGATGCAGTGATGATTACAGTTTAATAATGTTAGGGAAATGGGATAAAGTATCAAATCCCAGATAACCAACATTTATACTACTGTGATAGGCCCATGCAACAGTTCGCTGTTGCACAAAGGGGTAGGTTTGTCCAGTATGGTAAGTACCACAACCTCACAGAAGGCCGGAGTGAAATGGAAATGTCATACTTCTCTATTTCGTCTGGAAATGAGGTATCTGAGGCCTACTTTAGTTAAAAAAACCTACTGTTAACCACCAGATCACTACTGCATGCAATATTTAAAATATTTGCATGAACTTAACTTTACCTACTTAGTATAGCAATTAGAAACGCATTAATAGAAACGTCTATTTGCTGTTACTGGAATCCCTCTAAATCTACGGCATTGCAGTCATGATACAATACTCGTACGTCATTGGTTTTATTATTTCTCAGTCATTCTTGCGTTTTAGATAGAGGAACGAATTGAGCAGGCTTCGTCACTGGAGTCATGAATTCGATTCCTCATGGGATGATTATATACATATAAGCTTCGCACATAATTCAGACTTCAGTGTGTTATTTATTTTATCGGTAAAAATGAAAAGCTAAATTTAATAGTGTACCAACGATTTGTGTTTTATGGACTAATAATATTTCAATTTTTAAAGTTTTATATAGTGCTAATCTCTGCACTTAAGATTTAGCTCAGTGGCTAGAGCGTCAGGCCGCGAATGCCGAAAACGTGGGTTCGATTCCCACAGCGGCGACAATCTTTCTGTACTTTTTCTACATGTTTTAATAATAATATTTCAGTTCACTTAGAGGAGGAAAAATTGTTATCACCTATTTATTTATGGGTTTTATATTAACCTAATGCTTGAAAAAAAAAATGCAGTAGCTTCATCTAAAACATATTTGTTTTTATCTATTGGAGTGTATGAAGGAAAACGTATTTTTATTGGCCTCGATTTTGAAACAGGTCGAACGGTAGACAACGATTTGCAAATCATTTAAATAATTCGTATCTTCATCTGCGTCTCGGGTGTCCCGTGCGCAGCTTAACTGGACATAAAACAACAAATCTATGAGATAGCCCTAGTTTGTTCTGCTGACGTATATTAAACTGTGAGAAGCCATTGAGTGCTATTATGTTAGAACGGTCCAATGCTAAACGCGCTGAGATTAATTTGCAGTTGTTTTAGTATTCCCTACTCGCACGGCAAAGGACCTAAAGAATGATTTGGTAAGTTTTTGGCCGTAAAGAATCTAGAGGACATACTTAGCGATTTAGATGCGCCGATTGTTTTTCGATTCCCGATCAATTGAGCCTTAAAGTGTACAGCCCATACTTAAAGAGGAATACGCTTCGATTATGTGCAACAGTTTGTACTTCACTTATGTTTCGATTGCGAGATTAGTGTTGAATAAGTGCTGCATTGGAACAGATTCTTATTAAAGCTGCTTTCTTCTCGCTGTTGCATCATTACAAATTCAACTGATGCATCTAATAAATCGTAATAAACCAGACACGCTTTGTATACCACTTACGCTATATCTACTCGTTGGGTTAAATACATAATTATGTATTAAAATAAGTGAATTGAGAGGTAATTGTCTGCATGTTTGATAATGTACAGATGTCGATTTAATTCAATCAGCGATAAGATAATAATCTCGTGGGGCCTACACGGCGGTGCATTGTTCGGTAACGGAGTGATTTTGACCGATAGCGTCACACGAACGACATTGTCTGCTGATTGACGGCGAGGTCGCTGACGGAGCGTTTAACGTAGCTGATACAAAAGAGAAATGACAAAGCGTCTATTACCACAACAAAGCACGCCAAACTAGACATGTCTCGATCCTGTCCGCAGAAATATACACATTAAAAAAATTTAATCACACGATTATATTACATATTACTAAATACTAAAATAATTTTAGAAATATCACAATATTGAAACTTTTAAATCTAAAAATGAATTCTAGACTGATTTTAGAACTGACCAATGACATTTATGAATGAAAATTAAGAAAATTATTTTCTTTCGAACGAAATACCCTTTCTTTTAAAAGTTTAATTTAGAAGTTGAATTTTACCAACATTTATTGTTTTCAAATCTACATATAAATATTGACGAAACGTTATTTTGAGTAGTTTGTTGAAGAGCAATAGGAATGCCACAAATTGAAAGCAATCGGAGGTGGCAAGGACTTATGGTATAAAATGAAGTGTAATAAAATATAGCCCTGTTACACGAATGCAGGTGAACCCGCAGCACATCCTGCTTGAGGAAGGAGTACCATTACTCGGCAAGATCGTTTCATGCAACTCACCGCAAGACGTTAGGCTAAGATGGCATTGAGCTTAAAACTCCACTGGCGTAATTATTATCCTCCAAACTGTACAAAACAGACTGTGTAAGTATGGCATTCATGCACGATACCCAATAAGGTGCTTCATGGAAATCGTGGACGTCGAGAAGAATGATACAGAGAACGCGTACAATTGCCGCAAGAGCGATGGGATAAAATCCTATTTTGTGACCAGTCCTGATTTAGATTTATTTATTAATTCATTATTTATTTAAACGGGATTCTCGAAGAGTAAGGTTCTATCGGGTTGTTGGAGACAGTGCGCGACTGGTGGTAGAGTGCGTTTAGGATGTTTAATTATGCCTACTGCTGGTAAATTTTTATTTAAATTTTGTTTTACCGAAAATGTGACATTCAAAGTTCTTAACCAAGTCAGATTCTAAAACATTCCATCCGTCACGGTCGATGGTAACAACTCACTTATTTGGTTAGAAACTTCTCGATAAATTTATTTGTAAGCTTCCCACAGTTTTTCTAACTCGGCCACGCGTCAATATATGAGGACGAAAAACATGTTACCTAACCCTGAAATTTTCACTCGCAGTCATTCTAATACTTATCTCGTATGTCTCATCAAATCTCTATTTCTTTTCGGTTGTCTTTTTCCGATGTCTGTAGTATGTATATTGTTTCGATAAGCTTAATTCGTCGCCTTTTCCTCGAAATACTTGAAATTGTCTCGTTCAGCTATGAAGAACTTTCAAATATCTTTATTCAATATAGAAGCACGCACTTAGTGTATGCTTCCTATTGTTAAAACGCTACCAACGGTACCTTACGGCGAGATTCGGAAAGATTGGCAACGGTGACTAAATCTACTGTAGAACTGATTGTAAACGCATCTGCAACCCTCGGGTGTAGCGGATGTCCATGGGCGGCGGTATTCACTTAACATCAGGTGAACCGTCTGCTCGCTTGGCAACTTTTCACATAAAAAAAAGAAGCCTTATGTGATCCTTATACTTATTATAATTTAAAATTGAACATTTTAAAAACGTATGATTACAAAATTCTATATAATTATATACAAATGGTTAAGTAATCCTTATTAATATTTGTTTTATGTATGTATGGATGGATGTTTGTTACTCTTTCACGCAAATACTACTGAATGGATTTTAATGAAACTACAACAATATAGCATCGGAATAACACATAGGCTATAATTTATATACATATTTTATGTATATCTGTCTGAATGTTACGTCTTAAGCCTATTCTACTCAGAGTAGTCGCGGGCAGCAGCTAGTAATTCATATAAAGACGTTGGTCAGTTAATTGTATAGTACGGTACTAAAATATTAATATTTTCGTAAAATTTTTATGACCAGTTTCTTTATGTATATACTGATATTTTTCTTTATTTCCTGGTTTTTTACATAACCTGCAGGTAAATCCGTCAGCTAATATCGAGTTTTCTAATAGTTACAATTATAGGTTTTATTACTGCACCCAATAAAATCTCGTAATCGGTCAATTACTAAATATAGCACTTAAATCTTCCAATAATAATCTTATCAGTCGTTGCAAATAAACACTTCGTGATAAGGTCATCAAATGAGATGTATTGAAGTAATTTAAGTGTCCTTGTGTGCAAACATTTCCCATAGGTCAAGTCCTAACATTTTTAATCGTAATCCACGTTTATAAATCAGCTGCGTAGAGCTAGCATATATTTTTGTTGGACATTTTAAAATACTTACTGTTTGAATGATAAGAAATATTGATTTTGGTTATAAAAACAATCTCACAGTTTGGGAACTTTGTGAAAGCACTGTTTCCGACACGATGACGATAATAAAATGGCAAACAGGCAACGATAGATTGCACACACATAGATTACAAGGAAATGAAACAACAACAATCAGTTAGTTCTGTTTATTCTTAACTTTAATGCAGACTAGAATAATACTCTTAGAAATGAGAACAACAATAGTTATTTCACATGTCACAGTGTACCTAACATATACCAGCTTTCACGATAAACGCTATTTATTATCAGTGGTTTGTTATTTCTTTTACAATGTAAATAAATCTTATTCACAACAGCTAGCAATATAAAATTACACATCAGATTTTATAACTGTATTCACTTGAAGGTACGTATCACCAAATCGGGGAAGGATATATTGGCCAGTGTCTAAAGATATTCGACCCTAACGAAAATAACTTATTGTACAACACTTGTCTCATTGACGATGAATCGAGCACTCGCTTATTTAAAACTAACGTGATATATAAGTGCCTGTTAGTGCCACCGACATGTCACAGATTTTAAAATACCTATAATTATTTTGCCTGTGTAATGTGTAAAATATTAAGCAGTGACTTTTGTGACAAGTGTGAAGTAAAATGGCGAATGTACCATGAAAACAACTCGCGAGCTAACATAGTATTCTGCATTTCTTTTAAATACACAATATCCACTGCTTCCATGACAAAAATCGATTAACTCGGGAAATAATACGAGGGTAGTTGAATATTTTCTGCTAAGCATTAAATTGCCTGTGATAGTTGTCTTTCCATTAAGAACTTTTTTGTATATTCAATTGCATACACATTAAAAGAACCAATAACTCATTAACGGTTTTTTTTAAAACAACAATAATAATACCTTTCAATCTGTCTAAATTAATTCATATATGACACTGGCCATTGGAAAAAAAGGTCACAGATTAAGTGTGAGATAGAAAGAAGATAACCTACAAATTTGGAAAGCATTAAAACTTGACAGGATAGATAGACCGAAGCGGGATTCCGTAGGAGATACGTAGAGTTTGTTACAATTATACGATTTCATTTAACTATATAGTTTTTTTTTTCATACATAAATATAAGTGTCGAAACTCGTCCTCAGAGCGCTAAGCTTAGCTAAGAACAGGACATACATATTGATATAGATTATATAGTTATGCTATAGCCACACTATAAAATTTACAAAATATGACGTATCTTTTGAAACGCTACACGAAATAATGCTTTCTTTTTTTTGTTACATCAATAACTACTAATCAATTCATTTTATTCAACATGATCACTTGCCATCGCGGCATCTGCGTCGTGGTGGGTCACGGCGCTTTTAAATCTTAACACCTTGACAAAATGGCGGATGCGGCTTATTGTTGCCAGGTTCGTATAACTACAGTGTCGATAGATTATGAAACAAAAATGTCTCGATACAATTTACCGTTCATTATTGCGTTCCCTCTAAGTTCCAGTATCAACCGGGTCACTGAATCGACACTGTAGAAATAAAAATCAACTGTACTTACTTGTTATTCAGCTATACATATAGTATGATTGGTATGAAATGATTTGAACTATGGTGCTGACATTGTAATTAATGGGTATCAACGTAAGAAAAAAAATCATTAATAGAAAAATGTCATTAAACAAATGAATAAAAAACTCCGAAATTAAATAACGTTAAACATTTGAAACAATGTAACTTAAATGGAATGGAAAATAAGAATGCATGGACACTAAAATGGTATAAACCTAAAATTATAAAGGAATATGGCAACAATTTTTATAAAAGACCTAAGGCTAAATACAATAAAATGCACGAAATAGAGACGAGATAGTCTATGGCAAAGATGGCGTATTAGCGTCACAGAATATACAGGCGACCACAACTGTTTTCCACTTAACAACTATACAATTTATGGCAGATAATCAGTTAACTATATTGTATAATATCTAAGCAGATATGAGTGGGTCTTTATAATTAATTTACAGATACAATCAATTATTTAATGGAATATGTGACATTTTCATGAAGATTTTTTCCAATGTATTTACACTTGCTATTGCCAATTTTTTCGAACGCCAAAAAAAAAAAAAAGAAAAAAATGAGAAGAAGAAATGGATATCGGTGAGCGCATTAGGTACAAATCGAAACAGGAATAAACCTAAAAATAATTCGAGAAATTATGTTCCGACTGCGTTCGAACTACAAAGGAAGCAATTGCCGATAGCAAGTACGAACCATTGTCAATAGAGAGATATACAACTTATTAACTAACTTTATATTAGCCACGTAAGCGTCGTAAGCATTCAGAGTTGGACATCACAAATCAGTTCCTCGGGGTTGAGTTCTTGAGTATTTCGACGACAGCTGAGCCAATGGGCGATTGTAAAATAGTCAGAAAACGCTTCTATCGGAATATCGAATACAAAAATAACGTCACTTCTTCCATAGAAATATTTAAAGGTGAAGCGAATGACCATAAGCGGGCGGGGTGGTACATTTGAGGTTATTTTTTTTATAATTTTTTTTTCTTATATTTTATCTAACAAATAAATCCTGGTGAGAATAAATAAGCATTTCAGACGAGTATGAGATTTTGTGAACGAATCGATTGCACCGATTATACTGGTATTGCATCCGAAGAAACCTATACTCGTATAAAACAAATTACGTCTCCACTACGAATCGAAGGGAAAATGCTATGGTGGAAGGGAAGTAAACAGGGGAAGGGACACAAGGAGGTTAGTAGACGGTGGGGTGACCTTACCCCCACATGAGGCGGGCAGCCCAGCTGTTATGTGCATGTTATCGCATGTACGCAAGCAGGCACTTTAGAATGGTGGCGTTTCGCGCGCTTATATGAACACGGGGTTCTCCTGCCCGGTAAGCAGGCGGAACATCGACGTGGGCATCGTCTTCATCAGTATCTGGAACGCGTTTTGGTTCATTAATTTTTATTCTCTAATATTAAACACAGAAAGTTTGACTTGTGTTGCAGGCAGCGGCGTAAATTAACCTAACGTTGACGTCAAAATGCACTTTGAGGGACCCTTTTCATAACGTTATCGGCAAAAACTCTAACTAATCGAACCATTCTGTAATACTTCACAATACTATGTTTAAAAAATAATACTTAATAATTATGTAATAGCATATATTCATTTATTTCAATATATAATTGCCTGATCTTTTAAAATTCCATTAGATAAATTAGATAAAGCTGTGGAGAATCGCGCCACATCCTGACCCGCTGCGTTGTCGCTCTGTGAAACAATTGCTGTAAACATCGACGCTCACCTCGCCCACGGAAGTGTCCAGCGGGTTGCAATCACACTAAACGACCAATCATAGCTCGAAACAAACACACGCCGTTCGCTGGCGACCAATGACGTTGCTTCGCGCCTTTTCGTGCCCAAGCCAATAGGAATGAGGAATTGCCGCGTTGCCGATCCGTCAAACAATTGCCGTAAGCACAGACGCTCACCTCGCCCACGAAAGTGGCCAGCGGGTTGCAATCACACTAAACGACCAATCATAGCTCTACGAAACACACACGCCGTTCGCTGGCGACCAATGACGTCGCGCCTCTTCGCGCCTCTTCGAGCCTAAGCCAATGGGAATGAGCCATTGTGGCGTTGCCGCTCCGCTATACAACTCCACGCACTCACCTCGCCCACGGAGGTGGCCAGTAGGTTGACGATGCGCTCGTGCGGCACCGCCACCACGCTCTGCGAGTTGATCTCGATGATCCTGTGGCCGACGCGCACCCCGCCCCGCTCCGCTATGCCGCCGCGGAGCAGGCTGCAGATCTGTGCGGGTGTGCGCAGCGTACAGTCAGCGGCGAACAACTCGAGCGGTACAGTGCGAAGAGTTGTTTAGTGCGAAGAGTTGTTTAGTTTTCCCGTCCCGTCCTCCCTCTATTTTTATTTTATCAAGTTCCCTGATGTTTTTCAAAAGTATTTTGATGGTATAATAGATAATAATCACTCCCTTGATACGGGAGTTCTTGTATCATAAAAAGCAACAATTTAAAGATAACAGAACATAATACATTCAATGAAGAACAATTACTACTGCTAACGACTGTTAGCAGTAGCCGTTAAGTCAAACCGACCGCGACAACGGACTTTAATTGCGTATTAATCAATTATGGTATTCACATTTTTTTAAATATAGTTATGCTCTCTGATTACCGATGGTGTGGATGTATGGTGTGAATGTTCATAGACGTTCACACTATCCTTAGAGTTCTAATATCGCTGCCTAATTTTAACTTTACAGTCTCTACCACTGTTATATTTAGTCATATTAAATAGTATTACAGTGAGTCCAAAGCATTGTAATGTAGAATCACTCACCACGCCATTCTGAACGCTGAACCCGAGCTGGTACTTGGTGTCCGGCCGCTTTATCTTGACCTCCACGACGGGGGCGCACGGCACCACGGTGAGTTTCACCACAGTCTGGTTCTTAGAGTTCTTTATGTACGTCTGGCACGTCGACAGCGGCAGTCCCACTAGGCTGACGCCGTTTATCGCTATGATTTGGTCGCCTGAAGGGATAACAAAAACACTTCATTACTTTATTAACCAAAAATTGGGTGAGTTATTTCAACGGTCATCTGATGGCTCTATTTATAACCTATATCGCGCTCTTGGTTAGTGTCTAAGCACATTACCCCTAAGACGAAGGTTCGAATCCCGCAGAGCTGAAAATTTTCTATACAACTTATCTACTAAGCTCACATCTAATTTTTTTTTTATGAGAAGATGGCAAATGATGTGGCGGTTCATCGGATGTTAAGTGGTAACCGCCGCCCATCGACATTTGCAACACCCGAAGGGTTGCAGAAGCGTTCCCACCTCTTAATAAAGCGGATACTTCACTACCCTGACGACACGCACAGTTGTAACGCTTCCACCTCACATCGGTCTTCCGTGAACAACAGCGAATTGTTGTGCGGCCCTACCACTATCTTGTAGGAGTAAAGTAACAGCCTATACATGTCCCACTGCTGGGCAAAGGCCTCCTCTATACAGAGGGTATCAGGGCATAGTCCACCACGCGGCCTCACTGCGGATTGGCGGACTTCACATATCTTCGAAATATATATTTTTTTGTTATTATTTCGAAAATATGCAGGTTTCCTCACGATGTTTTCCTTCACCGCGGAGCACGTGATAAGTCAGCACTTAAAGTTAAAAACTTCATTGGTGCCGGCAACGAGGATCGAACTCAGGTTGCTCGAGTATATTGAATTAAAGGCGAGCGCCCGGACACTGGGCTATCACGGCTCTATAACTTGTAGGAGATTAACACCAAAATAAAAAATAAACATCTTACAACTACAGCAATAGATTGGGATAACTCTCCCTCGATAGCATTAAACGGTGTTGTGGCGCCATACAGCAAGACTGATAAGAAACTTGGTGTCCAGTTCGATTCCACTATCTCGTGGTCTCACCAGTTAAAGGAAGTTAGAAGGAAGACAGTTACAGTCATGGGTTGTCTGTACGTTATTTTCACCCCATTCTGTTCAATAAAGCAACATTTTAAGCCGTACTGCTGTCTGCCCCTATGCATGCTTAGATCTTTAGAACTACACAAACGGATCTCGATGCGGTTTTTATTATTAGATAGAGCGATTCAAGGGGAAGGTTTATATGTATAATACATGGCGTGCGAAGCCGGGGCGGGTCCATAGTACACAATACAACAGATGCCGGATTACCTATGTTAAGTTGGCCGCACCTCGCGGCCGCCCCGGCCGGCGCGAGGTTCGCAATCACCACCGTCGGCAGCATGGACCCCCAACCCGACTCCACCACCACCACCCCCAGGATCTCGCCCTTGGTCTTCGGCACCACCACCTCCTTCTGGAGCTCCTTCTTGGCGAACATCTGCAGCTCGTCGCCGAATATCTCCTGGCTGTTCAGCACCTCCTGGTAGTCCATCTCCTTGACGAAGCTGTGGTCCTCTATTCCGTTCGCCTTGAGGAACTCCATGTAAGCGACTTGGAACGCCTGCCCGATCGACTGCGCTATGAACTGAGCCTGAAATTAAAAAAAAATATCTTCGTGAGTTTACTTTTCCACGCCAGTTTTTCCTGTCGTGTCAAGTGTTTTATTCATCAACAATTATACCCTATAAATATTGTATCTTTTTTTTTTATCGCGTTGTTTATGGAAGGTAAAACAGTCGGTTCGTCTGTTGCCCTCCTTAAAGATGGGTTCCGATTACCTGACTCAACGGACGAAACAATGAATATTTGTACTTTACGTTTTCTGTGAGGCCGCGGTTCTTCCTCGTACGAGGCTACGTCCAATTTGCAAATTGGAAGCAGATAAATTAAGTATTGGTATTATTAACATTAATTACATTCGTCGGTGTGGCAATCACCCGTTTACCTTAGTGGCTAAAGCCTCAGGCCGCGAAGGCTGAGGACTTGGGTTCTATTCCTACAGCGGCGACAAATTTTTCATACTTTTTCTACAAATTTTAACAATAGATTTGTTCGATGTTTGTGTTATGTAATCCAAAACAAATATAACATTCCGTTACGCGCATTAGCGAATGCCCGATCCTTATATAAGCGATAACAAAGTAACCACTCACCTCTTCACTTTCGAAAACGTGACATATCATCTTAGGGGTACGGTTCAATTTCGGTTGGTCGGAGTCGCTCTCGTGGGGTACAAATCTCCGTCTGGCCATCAACACGACCAGGTCCCCAATGTCGGCGATATACGAGATGGTCCTTAGTGCGTGATCCATCATTATCTCCTTCAGTTCTGTGTTCAGCACCATGATCTTCTCCGTCGATATGAACAGATCCACTTCGGTACTGGGCTGGTTCTCGCCTTCGGGAGCCTGGAGACAAAGGGGGTCCAGGCTTGAGGGGTATGTACCCGTTTCCGGGACTACCCCTGCCACACCCTGATCCAGTGGCAGGGGGTCCATAAAGGATTTATCCCAAGGAAAAAAAAGGGTTGAGGGGTGTTCGGGTGTTTCCAAATTTCAAATGCTTTCAAATTCATCCCAAACTTTTTTGCTTCACTGACTGACATTTTAGGTGCAATATATACTAATGAGTGAAGATAAAATTGGTAACACACTAATGTCTACTACCTACAAGTTATATTGCGGGTGACAACTTGTAGATAAATGTTGCATGTGTTTTTCGGGTTATACCTTGAAAGCATTAGAACAGGCAACCAAGAATGGTGATTGATACGATACGTATGTATGTTCTAAAGAATATATCTAAATCAATATTAAGATATAACCTAAAGGCAATTAATGAATTTGAAAAATTAAAAGTCCAATTACGCAAATTAATATATTATTCGGCATAAATTTAATGTATCAATTTCTAATGTATAGTTTATGGTAAAAAATTATTTTTAAACACTTAAGTTTTGATAAATGTTTTGCGGACTATCAAGTACGGTATTAGCTTATAAATGATCTATAATTTAAAAGTAAAATTCTCGAAAACGTAAAAACAATACTAATTAAATTAAAACTAGTTATTTTCAATAAAGAAATACGCCAATTTATAGTTGCTGATAATTCCTTAATTAGGAAGTAATGAATAGGTAGATAATTATCTCATGATGTACATTTATACATTTTGAACAGCCCTTGAGGAACCAAGGCCTGGATCGACTTGTGACGTCACCCCACTTCGCAGGGCTCACGTAACGAACTTTTATTTTAATTAATAAAAATTTATTTTAATTTTATTTCTCTTAGTTTACAATAATTATCACGAATTATTACAATATTAAAAACCTATGAAAAATGTTGTAATAAATTTGATCATCGATATAAAATAAATTAAAATAAAAAAAGAATTGATTATCTGTATCTTAATTTAATATGGCGTAGTTATTAATGAATTGGTGCTGGAATTCAATGTTGCCCTAAATATTAGAAATTGAGCTGTTAGAATGCGTACGTGTCCAGTAGAAATATGAGTCCTTCATTTGTTCTTTAAGTGGACATCGACTATAGCGTCTAACAAAGTAAAAATATGATTTACCATTAGCCTAGGATTAATGTTGTTCGCGAATGCCGGAACAGATTTAGTTTTTTTTTTTTCAGACTAGTGTTTGTCTTTGATTCTCGACATTTATTAATTACTTCAATTGTACACGCGATAACGTCCGCGCCATCCACAATATATTTACCTAATTTTATTTAAAAGATATATTACTTTATAAAGCGTGTTATAAAAACTCTTGTTGAAAATTAAATACTCTTGATGGCAAACGAAAAAACAAACAAAACTATATAATTCGTGTATTTGATCATGATTGCACAAATTCATTAAACAAAGGCATACATAATATTTAGTTTCAACAATAGTGGATAAGAAATTGGTAATGCACGTTGATATAAAAATAAATTAAACACAAAACTTACCAAAGCCTGTCGACATCCAATGATAGCGAAAGGGAAATGACATTTATATATTAGTAATGATCAGATTAGAAATGAAATAACAAGCCATTTAATGTTTAAATTATTCTATGATAAAATAGGTACTTATTGGAATAGTGTTGGAGAAAGCCAGTGAGATTATTGATTTTCAAATCTAGTAAATATCGAAATAAATAACTATATTGTAAAATGATTGAAGAAAATATTTTCTGTATCAAGTGTTAAAACTAAGTTTAAACAATTTTAATTAATTGGTCTGACTATATACGTTTTTTTAACGTAACATATTTACAGCCGTGACGGGATAGTTGTATAATTTGACATTGACATCATGTGTCAAATTTGTCATGTAACGATTTTTCTGATTGAACTATTAAAGTTAAAAGCATGTACTTTTCCATTCATCGTGTTCAACGTTAGCATAATACAATTAAACGTATAACGGCTTCATTAAAAAAAATCTTTAGAAAAAATTAACAACAAAAACGAAACCCTCACGGCACGAGAGTTGTTTTTTTTCCGTCAAATGTCGACACTGCGTGTGTGCCAGCATCATAAATCATGTGCGCTCTTTTTTTTTAAATTAATAACAAACGATCAAAACTCCCGTCGGCGCAAGGGCTTAGTTTCCGCTCGACAGCGAGCCGGCGCGGTCGTGCCGCTCGCGGGCGCAACCTTGATCTTAGTGACTGCCTCCTCGACCATGTTCTTTTTGGGGCGCTTCCTGCGCCGCCTCGAGTCCTCGTCCACCTCGACGGAGCCGAGGAACGTGAGGCGGAACACCGCCGCCGGGGCCGCGTACACTCCCGAGTACGGCCCCTCGCAGCCCCACTGTTGGGACAACACCGGCTAGCCCCCTCACTTGGTTTTCCCACTCGCCGCCGCCCCCCACATACCCACCGCGCCCGCGATGTTTTGCTTGCTCCCTCGGCTCGCCTGTTCTATAGCCCCTCGCAACGGTTTTAGCTCGCGCCCGCTTTACGCATTATATGTCCTATATTCCGCCGTATATTACTTGAATCTTGAGCTATTTAAATACTGCGTATAACGACTCTGTTAGTGCCGCATGAACGGTATCATAGTCTATTATGTGTATGTTCGATTTTTTCCACCACGTCCGTATAAAGTCATAAACCGTTAGAAATTTCAATTTTAAATATAACACAAAAGGCTACTGATAGTCTAATCTGAATTATTAGCGATTTTACGCGGGTCTTTATACTAGGTATATAGGTTTTACACATATTGATACTGTGTTCGCGTAAGATTTAAATCATGAACTTGATATTTCCATCATTTAGCCTTTATTTTAAGGTGAGAAACATAAATAATTTAACGCGTTTACAAAAGTAACTCACACTGTATTGTAACGGTTTTTTCAAAGTTAGAAATGCTCCTAATGGAGAGTTCGTAGATAAACATTTTATCGTTAATAGTAGCAGGGTGTTTCTTTTCGTATTTTCTGTTTTACCAGGTTAAAATAATATGAATTCAATTCGTGCTTTTTAATGTTCGTTTTAATCATCAAACACAAATTAATTCTCATCATTACGATTTTGGAAGCAAAGCATTGATTGGGTTATAACAATCGCAATAAACATGATTTTTTTCTCAAGAAGCAAGTGTTAGTGTATGAAACCTTTTATTACCATTCGCCTTTGGCAAAGCGCTCAAACCATACAACGATAATTACTTATAGCTTGTAAGCAATGTCCTCTCACGAAACTATGATCATATGAATTAAAATATGAAACTTTTATTAAACAATGGCGTGATATAACAAATGTAAAGCTTTGCCGTTCGAATGTTAGTAATAATATTTTTCGATAGCAAACATTAAATGTGAACCTTATGAGAAGTGGCTAAAGACCAAAATAATATTGTCCGTACGAATTAAATTTTCACAGAGTAATTAAACGATAGAGAGCAGAACTCTGACAGAATATTTTAGAAGAACGTACACATCGAGAGCACGACGGCGCAAAAGCAAGCAAAACAAATCCGAACACATAACACAGATCGACAATGGTATGTGAGAAGCGGGCGAGTCCATCCTCGGTATGAAAGCGGGCCTGACGGATAATCGATCTTAACGGGTCGTACGTAAGGTCTGTTTTTGTGCGCAGGCGCGAAGCTGGCCCCGTGTCGGTGCGTACCTGCGTGTAGGCCACATTAGCCGGTGTGAATCGGGTTGTATCATGCGATAACGTGCTTTGATGGACGGTGCGATAAATGAGAAACGTGGCGATATTCATGCCCCTTTTTTTTAAATTTTAGCGTGGTCAAATCAACGCCCACCAAGCACCCAATGGTTACGGAGCAAGCGGATTATAAATTATTATCTCACGCATAATAAACACCATGTATCGGTTTTCGCATCGAAAAATTGCGCACGCCATCTATATTGTGACTGGATAACTATCGATCTCCTTCAATACATTTGTTTTTAGTTTTACCTGAATTTCAAGTATACAGCGAGTCGTTACCATCGTGACAATAAATGAACACACGTCTAACGCTATTTGCCAATAATCATAAAAAATATTAACGTTAAATAAAATCCATAATTAAAAAGAAATATTTTTCAAACAAACTAATTAAGTAAAAAAGAAACAAAATTTGTAACATCCTATACAACTCGCGCCACAGCGTCGCATTACAAGCCTCTCCTTCTAACAGTATGTTTTGTCTCTCTTAAAATTATTCAACAGCATTCATATGCTTTGTGACCTTTACAAATGAACTTTTTGTACAGTTTTATACGTGTTCTAAAATTGTTTGTTTTGGAAAATTTAATAACTCTGTAAATACTGATGTTTAAAGAATGTAAATGTTTAATACATCCCAATGTTTAATACCCCCTATATGTGTGTTCATTTATTGTCGCGATTGTAAAGACACGCTGTATACTTCATTGTGAAAACATAATCATATTTAATCTGAATCAACGCAGATAAATAAAGTTAGCGCTAGTATTTTTAAGATTCATTTTATTCATGTATCTTATTTTAATTAAACGCAAAAATGACACGCTGACATGCATAATTTTTTTATCTGTGCTCCTGTCGATCGCAGGTCGGATGCGTCGTGGCGGCGCTCGGCGTACTGGCAAGCATGCTCAATATATATAAGTAAATGAACGAGTTCCATTCGACATTAGCGACACTTACTTACCTCTACGCGGAACAAGGGAACAAACGAGCACAATACAAAGCATGGCGGCAAGCGGAACAGGAAGCAGACAAACGTATCCAAAGAGGAGGGCTAGCCGGCGAATACGGGATCCGGCGTCTCGCTGTGCCGGGTCGAGGGGTGGGGAGGGGCACTGAAAAAAATACTCTAGTGCGATGTAAATACGAGCGTAAACGGCCTGGCGGGCGGTCGCGTGTCCACTCGACTGGTACAAATATCCATATGGAGCATTCACTAGGCACTTATTTGGTCCTAATCTGTTTGACTAATCGTTTCAATGTTGCAACTGGCGGTTGGGGATGTAAGGATAGAAAAAAAGGATATCTCACTAGCATTCTCAAAACACTAATCCTAGTGAGCATGAAATTACTTAAGCGAATGTCGTTTGTGACAGAAATGCGCGGGCAGATGGGCACATTGAAAAACGGATCGTTGTTGTATTTTCGTCCGTAGTAGCTTAATTATAAGGTTCAATATGGCACGGCACGCATTTCTGTATAGCTTCTGTACAGTTCCGATAATTGTGCAAACTGTGTTTTCGGATCAATTGGACGATTTGACAGTGACATTACTTTGGTATGTTTGTCACAAAAATTTGGCTTTTCAACTTAACCTCAGCAGCTCGATTTACAGCCGCCGGTGCAACACACAGTGGGGGGGTAATTTCATGCTCCGAGTAAAAATGAAACAACTACGAAATATATTGTATTTATATAAAAGTACCGATTCACACTGACAAAATGGTGATTTGCCTTTCAAATTACAAGAATGCATGTACGGTCACCAAAAAGGTGCCGTTTAGTGTGTAAAAGTTTAAGAAAGATGTTGCTTTCTTATCCGTATAGTGATACGAATGATCAGCGATCGCATAAAATAGACATCAAGTGAACAAAGGTTACACAATTATTTAGTGTATTTTACACGAATGAAACGCAAATAGACCAATAAGATACAAGTTATAAACAAAAAAATAGTTTTATGGATTCAACCAAATTGTTAGGATCTCTGACAGTGATTTATTTGGGTGTTTACTGCGTAGATTTTAAAGAGACCGTCTCAATTACAAATTACAATATGACAACTCAATAAAGTCAAGGGGTAATTGTTCAAACTGGACTCACGGAGGAACAATAAGTTATGTATGAAAGGAAATCGTAACATGTACTAGTAGTTCTGTTAATATTACATTTGTGAAAAAGCATTCATATAGGAACCGCAAATAATTTAACGTGTCTTCATCCAGGCATTGACTTTTGCAGTTGTCTAGTGCAGAATAAATAAATCAATGTTCACAAAACCGAATAACAACTTTATTCGAGATAATCCCTCAATGTAAATTATCTGGGGTGAGCTAGACAGAAGAAGCGAGCGAGACGACAATATTCTAGTGGCCACATTTGCCACATTAAATTTTTGCGCCTCCTATTCTTATCGAAAAGTGCTTAAGTATCGCGCTATTTTTCATTATAGCATTCACTGGGGAAATTCCCATTTCCAGTGTATTTATTTAATCGGAAATTGAATGGGCTAGAATAGAGTTTTGGACAAGGTAAGCTGAAATTCATTGAATAAATGAAACTTTTATCATCTACTTCTTATTTTGGCATCGATTCATAAAGCAATACCTATAGCAGTCCGTTCCGAAGAGCAATTATGGGCCAATGATGGACCTAACAATAATTTAGCGAGGCAAAGTCGAACTCTTGAACTATGACGGTTCCTCTCCACACACACGCAAGAGGAGGGAACAGCGTGTAGAATGATTCCCCCACCTTGATCCTTGAGACCGCCTCCTCGGCTTGCAGCATCCTCGTCGCTTTCGTCGGCTGCCCTTCGCAGGCCAGCTGGGTTGAGCCGAGATAACGAGCTCGGAAAAGCACGCCCTCTATGAGCACTGACGGGTCTGAAATGGCAGATGTGGCAATCATGCACACCATAGTGCAGAAGGGGCGTGGAGTTGCAGCTGTGGTAGGGCCACGCAGCAGCCTCGGCTGTTGCACGAATGGGCCGGCCGAAGACCGGCGTAAAGTGGAAGAATAATACTGTCGCGTTTCGTCTGGTGAGTGATGTAGCCGGGGCCTAATTTTCAAAAGGTTCTCAGCGCATCTGTAACCCTCGGGTGTAGCTCCATGGGCGGCGGTATTCATTAACATCAGGTGAACCGCCTGCTCGCATGCCAACTTTTCACATAAAAAAAAAGTTGCCAACACAATCGAATGTGACGGTATTGTTTTTTTTTTGCGAAAGGGGTGGAGGAGTAAGTTCTAACGTCCACTGCGAACAAGAAGATCTATTGTAGTGTTCCCTACGAAAACATTGCCCTTTACAGTAGGATAGCATTAATCCCGTGTTGTCAGGACGTTTTACATACATGAATTTCACGTGGACAAACGGCCAGATACGAAACAATTGCCTGTGTGTCACACAAATAGTTTTCTCGTGTGAGATCGAACCCGACGATCTCCAGCGCCAAAGCCTATACCTTGGTAACTGCGCCACGGAGTTATCAACTTATTAAGGTTAAGAATATTAGCAACGTAACAGTATTCTTCCTTAAGAACTTTGTGAAACAGTAGAGTGCGATAGTAAGAGTACTAGACTACTAACAATCTAATGATATTTAGCTTTGATACGCGCTCTCGTATATACATCTCTTGTATATAGATCTCTCGTATATAAATCAGGGTTTTGTGATGTTTCTTCCTAGACATAAACCTAGTTTTAAACTACTAGCTGTGACGTCTGACGAACATATATCCGATTCAATATACTTGGGAGAATTTGGACGGAACGATGAAAATCCTTCTGTTGGATTTGATCTCTTGATCGAATGGCCTATAGTTTCCGTTATAATTAGTATGCGGAACGAAATGTTACGTTTTGAAGAAACATCTTCGAGGTAGTATTATATATTTATATATTATATAAGTATATTTTGATTTACACTCACCAAAAGATCCCAACGAAGCAAGCGAATGAAAAAGACAAGTTAAAATACTTGTGTAATATTTAAATATAGCTCCTTAACAATCTTAATTATATTTTAAATTAAAGAAAGTCTCACTCACCCTCTCTATTCTTGCTTTTCTTTTTCCCATCCTTGTCCTGGAACAGAAGAATAATAACTTTAAGGGTCTTCGTAAATTATTCGTAAGCCTTCTAATTATTCATTAATCCACGGATGTCATAAATGTCCGCTTTTTAAAAACACAAAACACCTCTATTCTATTCGTGCTACTGACACTGATCGCTAAATAAAATTGGATGGAGGGAGAGAGAGAAACGAGATCGTGCGACAGGGATGGGTATACACCCATTTATTCATATGAACAGAGCGGTAAACGGTGCGTTGAACGTACCGAGTGGAAAGAGACAACAGATCGAGCGACAGGAATGGGTATACAGACCCATCCATCCATACGAACGGAGCGTCGATGCGGGTCGTTGAGCCGGAAACGATGCGTTGAACGTAGCAAGCGGAAGAGAGACCAGAGATCGTGCGACAGAGACGGGTGGATGATCGAAGCGTCTATATTGGACGTCGGTTGAGCTCGGGGCCGTGCGTACGCACTTAACGCACCTTGGCCGCTTGTAGCGCCTCTTCGGCGGACGCGTCGAGCGGTGCGTCGTGCGGGTGGGGCGACAGCGCCCCTCCCCCCGCCCCCCCCCCCCGCCGCTCGCCCCTCCCGCGGGCATCACCGTTCGCGACTTGGGCTTGCGCCAACCCTGAACCCGCACCGGCAACGTCATTAAGCACACCCCTAAACACGCGGGCACGGGCTTGCGCCAACCCTGAACCCACACTGACAACGTTATTATGCACATCTCTAAACACTCGAGATCGGGCTTGCGCTAACCCTGAACCCGCAGCGGTAACGTCATTATGCACACCCCTAAACATACGGGCTCGGAGTTGCACCAACCTTGTACGTGCACTGGCACCGTAACTAAGAACACCCCTAAACACGCTGGCTTGGGCTTGCGCCAACCCTGAGCCCGCACCGGCAGCGTCATTTAGCACAACCCTAAACATTTACCCTCCTCTCTCGCCTGTTACGTTATCTATATGTATATATATATATCTATGCATAAGTCTCAGTCTGTGATTTCGAAAAATAAACGATTTCGTCAACTTAAGAATGAAGAGGAATGAAGAACGTAAACTAGCTTCTTTGACGTATCTGTACGTATGCATATGCCCGAAATAGCGAATGGAACAAACTAGGACGGGATTTTAATTTCTAAATGGAAAAGTTTTCAGATAATAATAATATATTTTTTATTTATTTTATTTTATTTTATTCGATTTAAAATCTTTTGTTGCTCTAAAAATAAAACCAACTAATTTGTTACATCTAACAGAAATTTCTTCGTAATGTTCCCGAAAAGTCCACTTGCTATCCAATATGTCTCCGAGATCTTTGGTAGAGTTTTTCCGTTCTAAATGTTTATTATCTATAGAATAATTAAATTGTATTTTATTTACTCGCTTCGTATATGATACTATAAAACATTTACTAGCATTTAGATACATATAATTATTCATACACCATTCAAATAAAGTGTTTAAATCCATCTGAAGGGCAGTGCAATCCGATATATCATTAATTAATTAAAATATTTTTAAGTCATCCGCATATAATAATTTGTAACATTTTCGGCTATCGACGAGGTCATTTATAAAAATATTAAATAATAAAGGTACCAAATGTGAACCCTGTGGGACTCCTGATGTGACATCCAAAGGAGTTGACTGAAATCCTTTTATACTAATAACAAACTTAGGCTTTTTAATAGGATTAATTAGGAACTTAAGGGAATTAGGAACCAAAATAATACATGTTCATTCAGTCGTCGCTAGCCGAGTTTGTTCAATATGTATTAAAAATAATTAATAATTCAATATGTATTTGTTTTATTTGTCGAAATATACTCGTAAATGTAATGGTTGTATAGCCGTAAAAAAATCATTTTATTCCTCTTGGTCGACTGGCTGGGCGTTAACTTTGAAAAAACATAAGTCACGATAAGAATTCCGAACTACTTGGTTAATTTTGACTAAACACGCGCGCATAGGCAAGGTCGTCCGATTTGCCCTTCAATTGTGTGAAAAATTTATCGCTATTTATTGCAGAGCAAAAGGGAGTATTATTTCTGAGACCTGTATGTACGTACGTTAGGTATATTGAAATTCCAAAAAAGAATCGCAGAGTATTAGAGCCAAAACGTATCTTATTTCAAAACGTTTTTTTGTAACGCAGTGGATTCTTTTTATTATCTTGCAATATGTCTTTATTTGAAGGTCCTTCTATTAAATATAAGATTTTTTGTCAGACTGTGTTTACAACGAAGGCGTCAACCTAACGCATTTTGTCAACATTTTGTCTAATCAACCTAACGCTGTTGATATTTTGTCTAACTTTGAATGTTTTTCCCGTTTCGGAATGTAATTTTTAACGGCACGATGTTTTAGTTTCGTTAAATGCAGCGGTAATCAAACGTGGTAACGGATGCAAACTAGATGGCGTTGTTAAAAATGCAATAGAAAGAACGTAGATAAATGTGGTGATTTTAACAATTTAATGTCTTGGACGATAATGATCCTATTTACGTATGTTTCCACGAATAATCAATTATATGTCACTAAACTAAACCAGTGACCAGCTTTTATTAATGTGACCGGATAATTATTATGGCTTCATGGTGAAATTCTTCAGCCGTCCTTACAACAAAAAACAACGTCAAATGAAAAATTCAAATCGTCACTACGTACTAAGAGCTAATATATTTCCTACAGAGGTATACGAAAACATCATTCGTCTTTTAATGTGGCGTTTCTAATCGCATTTTACTAACAATTTGAGCCGGTAATAAATTCTCGTGTAAAGACATTTTTGTTACTTATTCTGCATTAATATTATACGGCAAGTGCAGTAGTATTATAGCAAATAAAAAAAAAGATAGTTTTATCTTTAACTTTTAAACACACATACGTTCATTTTTATTTTATGTACATAAAATCCATTTAATACTGAAGTAAATAGACAATTAATAATCTCACATAATTTTATTTTAATTTCACAACACGTTGAATACAAATGACAAAGTATATTCCGTTAATCTATTTCTAAGGACGTTTAGATATGTTTCATAATAAAAACATTAGAATAATCTTGTTAATGTAATTGACTATTATTGACCTAGTTTAATAAGTTTTCAAACTAAGTTTTAACAGCAACTTCTAACACTGAAATAATGAATGTCACACATATTATTCATAATTTATTATTCAATATAGTAATGGAAATGTTATTTTTTAAATTAGTTTTCTCAAAAACAGGCATACGGGACAACATTATACTTAAAGTTAACGTCATTGGGCCACAACAACATACATTCTAGTTCTTGAAACATGTACAACTATTTTCTCAAAAATAACCTCTCTTCTTGACCATAGGCATTTGTGAAAAGCAGCCATTATATCTTGTCCTGCACGTACTATTTCAATACTTTTTGGTACATAAATTTGGTTATATTATGACAAGATTCCGTGTAAAAAAAAAGAAAACCGCACAAATCAAATTCAGAATATCTTTATACAAATAGACGCATGCGCGTTCTTATGAAACGTCGAATTTTACATAAAAATTAATTTATAAGTCCGTAAGGAGTAACACGACAAGCCCATTACTTGTCACGTACGGGATTAAAAAGTTCAGGGATGTGTGAAAATCGGAAAGTATTAATGTCGTGGGTTCGATTCCCTCACGGGATAAGTATTTGTGTGACCCACAGATAACAATTGTTCTGTATCCGGGTGTTTGTTTCCCAAAGAAGTTTGACGTCAGACTGGCGATGGCGGCCGGTAAAACAACATGTGAATTGACCGAAACGTCGAAAAATCCCGGTGTGCGGCGCCAACGAAGTTTTTGATTTAAGTGACGACTTATCGCTCGTTTAGCGGTGAAAGAAAACATTTTGAGAGATGTTGTTTTCGAAAAAAAAATTCGAACATAATATGTAAAGTCTGCAAATCCGCAGTAGGTTCGCGTGATGGTCTATGCCCTAATACCGTCTGTGCAGAGTAGACCTTTGCCCAGCAATGGGACACACTCACATATGTAATCTGTTACTTTACTAATTTAACGATATGTTAACGGTTTTTAACTCTGCCAACTTTTTTAATACGTTGGAAACGATTAAAACCACGCTAATCGGTGAATATTGTTAACTAGTCGAAAACTTTATTTTATCAAGAATGACAATTCGCATTTGTTATGTTAAACATTAAGAAGTTTTATCTAGTGAATTTGCAATTTATACCGAAAAACCAAGTCCAAAAAGCAATAAAAAGTAAGGAAACAAAAACGAGCCAATAACAGGTTTTGCCAAATAAATATGGGGCTATATAATTTCACATGTTAATTTTTTATCGAACAACGATTAGCCGACGTTGTAAATTTGTCTATATTTATTGCCTAAACAAAACTATTCACTCATATCTATTACTTTATTTATAAATTTTAACTATTGACGTACGTACATAAGCGAAAAAAAAAGAAACCAAAAAAGAAACCGTTTCATCTCCGCTTTTCGCATCTGCACCATCGTGGAGTTTCCCATCACTAGTGGCAGATTCTCCATCAGAGCCCCCGTCGTCCGTTTCGTCCGGCGCCCGTTCGCCCGTCGATACATCGCCCCGGTCGACATCGACACCCGCGGCGTGGTTCACATCACTAATGTCGATATCCGCGCACTGGACCTCGCTGTCGACACGCAATTCACCGACACTCTCGACGTCTGCACCACTGTTCGCGTATTGGATCGCGAGAGAAATCCGAGAGTCGTCATCGCACATCTTTAAAACGACTCGGTGATATTTGACACAAACCGATCATAGCTCGCGAGTCGACACAACAGTCGACCGGTCGGTTGTCGTGGCGATAAAATCGTTATCGGCCAATAAGTAAACACGCCCATATGTTCGCGACGCGTTATGATAATGACTGCCGCTAGCCAGTCTACCCACACGTATGCCGCGTCAAAGAGTAATTCATTATCGCCTAATTACGCAGACAGTGCTAACGAGTTCAATTTTTCTTACAATTTCGTCGGACTCAATTTGAACAATAACCATTTGGACTGCAACCTAAAGCTAGCTCGAATGTTTTACACTAATTAATACATGATTACTATGTTCAGTCGTCAAACTCGTAAACTATTTAGCCTTCATCATAATTATTAGTCAACATCAATTATAATTATTTATGTTAAATACAATTAACTTGGCATTAGCACTGATGGGAAGCAATTTATCATCTAAGAATTTACAGTTTTATTTTGGGCCTTTATAAAATAATAAGATACAACGAACATTAAATATAGTTATAAAACAGAAAACTGTTGTTTACAAAATAACATTTATAATTAATTATTCATTACATTTTGTACCTAACAATTCAAGGGATTTGGACAGTCTGTCAGTCGTTTAATCTTTGACCGTCGTACAATAAGAGAGCAAGGCCGGAGCGAACGCGTCATACAAATTCGGACGGTGCACGCGCAACGACCTGACTCATCTACCAACGCCGTATTACTCAAGACATATCACAACTGGCGGTCAATCAATGCACATAATTGCGGTGGCTAATAAATTCTAACAGCAACGGATTTGATGATACCATTTATTGGTTCATTCAGGTTACGTTAAGGTATTATAATGTATCGTAATTATAATCTGACGATAAAATTATGTTCGTGTTTAAAAATACCTTAACCGTCGATTTATACACTATATAAGGCGATTTAGTTTACATTAGGGAAATTGAGTCCTACATAATTGCATACTACATAATTGACGCGCATTGAAGAATCAAAAACTTTATGAGAAATTCCGTAAATCTTGTATCTTGTATTAACTGATGTTTTTGCTTTCAGTCGCGAGACTATTAAAGCTTCATCTGACGCAGAACCGGTGGGCTAGCCAGAACCCACGGGTAATTCCGTAAAGGAAGTCGATGAAATGTAGGTAAATATGAAATAGATTCTCCTAAGGTTTACATACAAGAATACCGAATTATTAACATAGTTTTGTTTGAAACTTAAAACTAATGGATCAATATTGACGACCCGATTGGCGGAAGGAGTAGTGACCCTGCCTCTTGCGCCAGAGGGTGTGGGTTCGATCCACTCATCCTATTGGAAAAATATTGTGTGATTAACATAGTGTTTTCCCGTGTCTGGGTGTTTATATACGTATATGTATTTATTTTAAAAAAAAGAACGTTTATCACTTTTCGAGTACCCATAGTACAAGCGTTGCTTCGTTTGGGACTAGAGAACTTTAAACGATTTAAAAATGTGTCCAAAATGTTTAAAAAAATATATTAACCGAAAATTACTTTCACATGTAATTATAGGCATATAACCATATCCATATCAACATATAACAAATAGATGTCACAAGATTTCAAATGGTTCAAACTTCGTTAAGGTCAACTTTGGCGCAGAGTCGTATATTATTTATATATATTTATTCGATATATATATATTTATTAGACTTAATGCCATCAGCATTATCACCACCACCAGTAAACCTTGGGGTTATCCGGGAAAGCTAAAGTTGTTAATTTCAAACAAAAAAAAATTTCTGGAACATGAAAAATTCAACTCACTTTGTCATCGAAAAATCCCTGGTCGTCCGTCCTTTGCTGTCCGAGCAGCCTATCGGTCTCCAAATCCGTGTCGGCTTCGTCTGAAACGTTCAAACGGATTTTTATTCGTCTGCGATGTGTTACGTGAACCGTAATTTTACAACCTTTCAACCGACTACAAAAAAAAGAGGAGGTGCTCAATTCGACCCTATTTTTTTTATGTTTGTTACTACCTCAGAACTTTCGAATGCGTGAACCGGTTTTGATGATTCTTTTCTTATCTGAAAGCTGGTATTTCACATGTTGGCCCATATTAATTTCATTGGTATTGGATCTTGGGCTACGGAGATAGCGTAGCGAACTCCTGGAAATCATTTATAAAATGGAAACAGAGCGAGATATCTGGAGTCGGTTTTGTTTATCGTCAAAAAAAAATATGCTTATATCAATATGTCATAGACGCCAACACTATAGCAATCATATTAATAGTACGCGAAAATTTTGAAAAAAGGTCTCTAAAGTACAAGACACAGCGCAATTCCAAATCTATAGGCAGTTTCCTGTTGGATTTAAATGAAGTTTCTGTACTGAGGGGTAATAGGACATTACGCAAACTCAATGAGGATTTGATTTTTATTGTACAATGTGTGACTCGGTGTTGCCGTTGCAAAACTATCGGGGGTCGTCGGTTCGATTCCCACACGGGACAAGTATTTGTGTGGCCCGCAGATAACTTTTCCGGATCTGGGCGTTTGTTTCCCAAGGAGGGTTGACGTCAGGCGGGCGGCCGGTCGTAAAAATCATAGCTAAAAATAGAGGATGACGGAATGTACTTCGTCCATGCAGGTTTCCTCACGTTGGATTTGAACTCTGGTTGCTCGAGTACCGGATCGAAAGCCAGCACTTGAGGATCGAGCTATAACGGTACAATGACGGCTTATAAAGTAAAAATACCTTCATCGCCGCTGGCCGGTTTGATTTCAACAGACTCCGTGCTTTGAGCTGATGACGGCCTTTTGCTGAAACGCAAAAGTTATAAGTGATTAATTTAAAACGTGAGAAATAGTGACTCTACGTTAGGAGCGACTGGATATACATTTAAAGTGAAAATTTTAGTGAGTTAATAATTTGTTTAACACGTATTTTTTTATCAATATCACAACTCTTTAAAATAAAGCTATTCGTAAAACGAAGGGAGAACACAAAAGCTAGATATATATATAAAAACTAGACAGATAATCATATAAGAATAAGTTAAAAACTGCAACGGGTCTAAGCAAGTCTTACCAGTATCACAACGTATCTAATACAAAGTGTGTATTATGTTTATTTATAGCCTATGACCTCCAAAGTAATAAATATACATAAACAGGGGGTGTAGGCAAAGATTTCGAATTTCAAGTTTTTTGCGCTTTTATATTTTCAACATCCATACATCAACGCTCTCATTCCTATTTGTCTACGGTATTTTACGCACCCTATACTTCTCATAATATTAATAGAAAGGTAAACATCAAATCATTAAAACTCGAGAGGAGTCAATAAACGATTTCCCTATTTAAATTTAGGCGACCAAGTGATATTAAATTTCAATCATATTACAACATAAGGCCTTACATTTGGATTAAAACTTCAATTAGCGTCTGAAGTTCGTCCGGGTCACAGGGCGGTTCTCAACTTATAGGCAGCAGAGAGGCTACACATCTCGTGCAGGTAGTATTGTCATCTCATTCGCACCGTAGTCGAAATCGCATTCTGTCTCCCTCCTCATGTAGATGTACAGTCGTGAGCAATATTGAAAATTAACGCATTCATCGAATAGAATTAGGTTCAAAGCGATTTTTGATCTCGATATTACAACCGCCGAAGTTGCGATATTCAATTGTTTGTATTTAATTCACAGCGATTTCTGCACTCGGTAGTACATCCGCCTAACTTGCGATATAAACATCATTTGTGGGCATTTAATTACAGCGATTTTCGTACTCGACGGTACATCCACCGAAACTACGGTGTCAACTTCTATAGTGGGCATTTAATTAACAACGACTTTTGCACTCGACTGTACATTCCGTCAAATTCCTTTTCTTCTGTGTACATAAAGAGATCATTATGCCAAATAAAAAAAAAGGATCCTCACCGCGGCGGGTAAACGTCGTCGTGAGCGGTGTGCAGGTGCGTCACGTGCGGCACGCGCGGGGAGTGCGTCACGTGGGGCACGTGCGTCACGTGCGGCGAGTGCGTCACGTGCGGTGAGTGCGTCACGTGCGCGGCGTGCGGCGTCAGGGCGGCGTGTTCGGCGGGCGGGCGGTGGGGCGCGGGCGCCGGCGGCGGCGGCCCCGTGCACGCTGCGCACGCGAACACGCACACACATTTACGGTTATCACGCTGCACATGCACACACATTTACAGTGGTTAGTGCATACACATTTACATTTACAGAGTTTGAATAACTTGATCACTACATAGTATAAACTATATGTATATATGCTTAGATCTTTAAAACTACGCAACGGATTTTGATGCGGTTTTCTTTAATAGATAGAGTGACTCAAGAGGAAGGTTTCACGCATAATATAGTAGAGGAACACTGATAATTTTAGAGGTTTCTAATGCGATGCCGAAAACAATTAGCATTGCACCCGTGCGAAGCCGGGGCGGGTCGCTAGTTTATAATAATCTGTGAAACGATGGGTAAATTATTGTTATTTGAACCCAGCTTAGTAGACCGTTCCCTTACGATGCTTAGGACTGGTTTATATAGATAGTATTGATGATATTTAAATAGGTATTACTTAAATAAATACATCTTTCCTCCGTAATGCCACTAGTGCTTTTTCCGATTGTGTGTGTGTTTCATAATATCGTAATGAAGAGATTATGCTTAAGTTTCGATAGAAAATTGTTTTATACACGTGTCCTAGACCTTTTTTATTCCTTAATCTACTAATTATTTATCTAAGGGATCTCTAATTACCTAAGGGATCCAGTGAGTGCAGATCGGCGTCGGACAAGATCATCGGGTCGGTGTTGGTTCCATTCTCAACTATCTCCTCTATTATAACCGATGAATTCTGAAAACATTAACAAAGAAATCACTTGTAAATCTTGTTCAATAACATGATAAATATTCTGTACTGTTTGGTTTATTCCCGACTGCGAATTCCAGTTGTTGGACCACACTCTTGCTATTAGCTATGTGGGACGGATAAATCGTTATTTCACCACACTAATAAAAAAAAATATATGAAATAAATATATGAAATCACATACAGTAACAAAAGTAAGTTTACGTCAATTGTGTTCCCCAGGGGAAGTAGTAATATTAGTACGGGTAACCGTACCCTGTCAGGTTCTTTGTGAATTTGGTAAACGGTTTGACGGTGTTGAACATCTGATGTTAAATGATTATCGCCGCCCATGGACAACTAAAAGACCTGCCGACTTATTTAACTGGGCTCCGGTTATCTCACTCACCAGACGAAACGCGTGAGTATAATAACTTCCACTTAACGCAAGTCTTCTGTGAGGCCGTGGTACTTTCTCGGACGAGCATGCCCATTCGTGCAACAGCAGAAACAGATGGATTCCTATTAACGATCCTCACTTGAATTATATGCGAAAAAACAGTGTAGATAAAACACGCAGAAATGTTCATCAGCAATGGCAACAAGCCTAGTGGTTAATAGCCTAGTGGCTGGAGCGTCGGAATCCAGCAGACGTGGGTTCGATTCCCGCAGCGGCGAAGTTATCGTTCATATTTTCCTAGAAGTTTTAATGTTTCATCTCACATGCCGAGGTTAGCACTATAAAAGATTACATCCTCACCTGATTATTATTGTCTGCGTCAGATGCGTGTCCCGACGAGAGACCGTCCTCGACTATCGGCAGATGAGCCACTACGACGCGGTTGGAGTCCATTTGGACTGAAATGGCACACGCGATTGTTATAGTATAGCACGGGGCTAGCTTTAATGATGTAAGTAAATGAGGTAAGTTTTCACGAAGGTTTTGTGTATCCAGATTTTTTTTTCATGAACAAATTAATTGGCTGCTTTTTGCCTTTCCTGCCAGCTGATGATGAATGCGCTTGCTCCAGAGTTCGATTCTCTTTTAGCAATGGTGACAACGTAACGAAAGCTGGTTTATTACTTTAGTATCAATAAAAATAGCGCCTCGCCAAGCACTCATTGATGAGATAGCCTGAATGTTTCAACAAATCAAGAATTTTGTTATTTGTAATCAATAGCCCACATTGATTACAAATAAAAAAATTCATTCATTTTTAAATTCATCACCGAATCACACTCGCATGGAAACCAAAGTATGCGAAGCCATCCACTCACCCTTCATCTCGGAGAGTTCGCTCTCCATAATGGCGAGCGACAGGTCACTGGCCGAGTCGCTGGCGGCCGACGACACATTGAACGGGAGGCGCTGGTCGAGCATGTCGCGCGCGTCGAGAATGTCGCGCGCGTCGAGAATGTCACGCGAGTCGAGAATGTCGCGCGCATCGAGGCTGTCATGCGCGTCACGCACCTCGAGCAGGTCGCGCAAATCACGCACTTCGCGCAAGTCACGCGCGTCGACCGCGTCGCGGGTTTCGCGTGAGTCACGTATGTCGCGCGAGTCGCGAATGTCGCGCGAGTCGCGAATGTCGCGCGAGTCGCGAATGTCGCGCGAGTCGCGAATGTCGCGCGAGTCGCGAATGTCGCGCGAGTCGCGGAGTTCGCGGATTGCGGCGAGAGGGGGCGCCGGTGAGCCGCAGTCGCTGTCGGGCGGGCCGGCGCGTAGCGCGGAGACGTCCGGCGCCGGGTACCGGGAGCCCTGTTGCTGTAATTGGGACGGACGACAGTGTTACCAACTGTTCAAATAACCCACTAAAATTCACTAAATTAAGAATGATAGAAATTAGAAAGGTCTAGGGACTGGTTGTTGTAGTGATATCAAGTATGAAACCGCCCCCCCCCCCCCCCCCCCCTCAGCCATGGACCTCCGTAAATAATGCTGAAAAATCAGTGATAATGCATATGCATCGCTATATATTTGCCACCTTTTAAAAAAGTGGGCTGAAAAACTCCAACACGCTATGTCGTTAATCAACGCTACCTGTAGTCCCAAGAAGTTGGTGTGGTTGTGGGCAGAATGGGGCGAGTCCAGGGTGTCCGTGACCTGGGGCCAGTCAGAGTCGCTGCCCTCTTCGATGCCGTTTTCTGAGGGGCACTCCTGAGTCTGGCGTCTCAGTTCGTAGTCCAGGTCCTAAAGGAAACAATTGGTTACAAAACTTAAGCTTTCAAGTCATATTTGTTTTCTTTAATTCAGAGTTGTAAACGATTGAAATTCTAAGTTCAACGGTAGCAATATTTTTATACAAAATATAAGGTTTTTTAACATTGCATCAAACTACAGTCACAATATCATTTCACGCGACTAGATCGACGTGAAATGATATTATCACCTGGAAGTTGACGATCTCGTCGTTAGCGCTGAGCTGGGTGTGCCCCGGCACTGCCGGACAGCGGAAGAACTCCTCGAGCACCTTGCGCGTCTCCGAGAACTCGTAGAGGTAGTCGAAGGCGGAACTAGGCGGGGGTGACACCTCGCGGCTCTCCGTCACCACCCTCTGGAATATGACTAACTGGTTAGATAGATAACAGCCTCTGGGGATATACTGCTCAGTAATAAACTAAGTAAAAGTCCATACATGTCTCACTGCTGGGCAAAGGCCTCCTCTATACAGATGGTATCAGGGTGAAGTACACTATACCGTGACTATGTACCGCTGACTTCACATATCTTCGAAATATTTATTTTTTCTATTGTCTCAGTTTTCTGGTTTGTCTCTTGAAAACTGCGACGGTCGTACTTTCCCATATAAGCTGGTGTGTGCAATTAAAGTTGCTAGTTCGGTGATCACCTTAAGTTTACAAACTTAAAAAGACGCCGAACCTCGTACGTAGCCCGTTTAACGTAGTAAAGTCGCTTCCGTTATCAGAGTGAAAAGGAACGCACCTGGGGGAATCCCGGCCGCGGCGAGCGGTTGCTCGGCTTCTGGCTGCCGACGCCGTACCTCCGCGGCGAGCCCTCGTACTCAGCGATGGGTAATTCCCCGATGAGCCTTGTCACCCTGTGCTTATCCTCGTCGCCCGACTGCCACGCGCCCCTACTGCCGTCGCTGAGCTCGCCGCTCTCGCCGCTCTCACAGCTGCCGCCGCTGAGTTCACTCTTACAGGCGTCACCGTTCAAGTTAGCTTTGGCGCCGGCTAAAGTTCGCTTTGCACACGAGTCAAGCTCATCGTCACTGACTTCCGGTCCCTGTCCCGGCCCCGCTAGCGGTTCCGTTTCCGTCCTCAAACCTAGGGGCACAGAATTCAATGTCACTGAAAATAAAAGGAGAGAACGCGTTACTTCCACGTTGGCAGACGCAGCATAGGAAATGAAGAGGTGGCATTTTAAACGTTGTCTTTACATGTAAATGATTCGATAATTCAGCCCTAAAGAAACATTTTTCTTGCTATTTCCAGCGTTCGATGCCACGGAACAGACTGAGTTGTTTCACATCTTAATATCATGGTTAACTCGGGCTACAGTCAATACTTTATTATTTATTTTTATTCCGGTCCACGCAAAAGGAGCTTACGGTATCTTAAGATTTAGCAGTGTCGGTATGCTTAGATTTAATTTTATATATTATGGGATCCCAAGCTGATACATCCGTAAAATAGTTTAATAGTTTTGATGAAAAATTTATTAAATTAATAATAGTGTTGATCGATATAGCTACAAAATTTGTTTTTGTACTACCACCAAGACCGCCCTATATTCACTTAATAGGATCCCTACAAAGGCTTAATAAAGACGGGGCCGCCTCAATCCGATCAAGTTTAAAATTAACGAGCGCTTTTGCATTTCGTTGAAAGCATATGGCTATTACATTTATTCGTATATTTAAGCTTAAGTAAGTTTTAATTGGAAAATTTACAATGGAATTTAAATTTAAGATTTTCGGAATTTTGATCAATTGAAAATGTGTTATTTTTTTATTCATTCAATTATTATCATTCTCTCATCATTCTCATATCATTTATCATATTAACATTTGTTTATTTTTAATATCGTAAACTAACATTGTATGTTACAATCAATAATAATAAAATTATGGATTATAAGTAACATAGAAAGACTTACAATATTATCCTGAGTTGGAGTTATATTTAAATGTGAAAAGTATCAGTATCGGAAAATCCGTTGTTAATTACCAAATATTTATATTATAATTTCATTAAGAAGATCTTTCATAGATTTGTTTTCTTTTTTAAAATATTATATTTATTTCCTTCAAATTTATGTTTTTAAAGTTTATATGTTATATTGACTGTTTGTGGCTGGATGAGGAAAGCGGATGAGCCGTGCCCTTGTGGAGGCCTATGGCCAGCAGTGGACTGCCAAAGGCTGCTTTATTCGTTAATTGATATACAGGCAGGCTTTTTAAGTATATTTTTTTTATTAAATTCCAGACATTAATAATGTTATATAAAAAATGATAAATATTTAAAATCACTCGTTATTAATTAATTACATTTATTTGAACTTATCTCAAAAGTGCGTGATTTATGGGCAACTCATGTATTTTACGCGCGATCATTCATAACTAACACGCACACAAGTTCATTTCAAAAGTATACGACGCATTTATGAATAACTTCCGCAATTGTCAACAAGTTTTGATTTTTAGGGAATAAAATGGCAATTTTTTTGAAAAAAAAAAAAAGAGTCTGAACCTCCTGTGTGAATTTGAGCACCTTTAAAAAAGCCACCCTGTATAACTTTGAGTCTGTTTGATGGCCTTTTAGAAAAGGTTATAGCGAATAAAAAAAAACATTAATAAAATTCAGAAGGATCAGAAATTGCCGTACGAATGAACAAAATCCCAAACGAATAAAATGTAACCAAAAACATTAAAAAAAAATCCAAATTCGCCGAGTCACCTCTCCAGCCTTCTGTGTCGTCGAACACGACCACCTCGCCGTCAGCGACGACTGCGATGGGGCTGCCCTTCGCGCTGACGTCCGCCTTCTTGTGAGGGTCTAATATCGGCGAGCTGTTCCTCGGTATGCCCATGCCGGACGCGTCGCCGTTGGTGTAGGTGGGCGACGTGTGGCGGGTCACCATCCTCTTCGGCTCGCTGATGATCCGGTGGAGAGGTATCTGCCGCGGTAGGTTTGTCGCGATGTAGTCGAAGGCGGAACTAGGCGGGGGTGACACCTCGCGGCTCTCCGTCACCACCCTCTGGAATATGACTAACTGGTTAGATAGATAACAGCCCTCTGGGGATATACTGCTCAGTAATAAACTAAGTAAAAGTCCATACATGTCTCACTGCTGGGCAAAGGCCTCCTCTATACAGATGGTATCAGGGTGAAGTACACTATACCGTGACTATGTACCGCTGACTTCACATATCTTCGAAATATTTATTTTTGTATTGTCTCAGTTTTCTGGTTTGTCTCTTGAAAACTGCGACGGTCGTACTTTCCCATATAAGCTGGTGTGTGCAATTAAAGTTGCTAGTTCGGTGATCACCTTAAGTTTACAAACTTAAAAAGACGCCAAACCTCGTACGTAGCCCGTTTAACGTAGTAAAGTCGCTTCCGTTATCAGAGTGAAAAGGAACGCACCTGGGGGAATCCCGGCCGCGGCGAGCGGTTGCTCGGCTTCTGGCTGCCGACGCCGTACCTCCGCGGCGAGCCCTCGTACTCAGCGATGGGTAATTCCCCGATGAGCCTTGTCACCCTGTGCTTATCCTCGTCGCCCGACAGCCACGCGCCCCTACTGCCGTCGCTGAGCTCGCCGCTCTCGCCGCTCTCACAGCTGCCGCCGCTGAGTTCACTCTTACAGGCGTCACCGTTCAAGTTAGCTTTGGCGCCGGCTAAAGTTCGCTTTGCACACGAGTCAAGCTCATCGTCACTGACTTCCGGTCCCTGTCCCGGCCCCGCTAGCGGTTCCGTTTCCGTCCTCAAACCTAGGGGCACAGAATTCAATGTCACTGAAAATAAAAGGAGAGAACGCGTTACTTCCACGTTGGCAGACGCAGCATAGGAAATGAAGAGGTGGCATTTTAAACGTTGTCTTTACATGTAAATGATTCGATAATTCAGCCCTAAAGAAACATTTTTCTTGCTATTTCCAGCGTTCGATGCCACGGAACAGACTGAGTTGTTTCACATCTTAATATCATGGTTAACTCGGGCTACAGTCAATACTTTATTAATTATTTTTATTCCGGTCCACGCAAAAGGAGCTTACGGTATCTTCAGATTTAGCAGTGTCGGTATGCTTGGATTTAATTTTATATATTATGGGATCCCAAGCTGATACATCCGTAAAATAGTTTAATAGTTTTGATGAAAAATTTATTAAATTAATAATAGTGTTGATCGATATAGCTACAAAATTTGTTTTTGTACTACCACCAAGACCGCCCTATATTCACTTAATAGGATCCCTACAAAGGCTTAATAAAGACGGGGCCGCCTCAATCCGATCAAGTTTAAAATTAACGAGCGCTTTTGCATTTCGTTGAAAGCATATGGCTATTACATTTATTCGTATATTTAAGCTTAAGTAAGTTTTAATTGGAAAATTTACAATGGAAGGGTCAGTTTTGTTTAAATTTAAGATTTTCGGAATTTTGATCAATTGAAAATGTGTTATTTTTTTATTCATTCAATTATTATCATTCTCTCATCATTCTCATATCATTTATCATATTAACATTTGTTTATTTTTAATATCGTAAACTACATTGTATGTTACAATCAATAATAATAAAATTATGGATTATAAGTAACATAGAAAGACTTACAATATTATCCTGAGTTGGAGTTATATTTAAATGTGAAAAGTATCAGTATCGGAAAATCCGTTGTTAATTACCAAATATTTATATTATAATTTCATTAAGAAGATCTTTCATAGATTTGCTTTCTTTTTTAAAATATCATATTTATTTCCTTCAAGTTTATGTTTTTAAAGTTTATATGTTATATTGACTGTTTGTGACTGGATGAGGAAAGCGGATGAGCCGTGCCCTTGTATGGAGGCCTATGGCCAGCAGTGGACTGCCAAAGGCTGCTTTATTCGTTAATTGATAAACAGGGAGGCTTTTTAAGTATATTTTTTTTATTAAATTCCAGACATTAATAATGTTATATAAAAAATGATAAATATTTAAAATCACTCGTTATTAATTAATTACATTTATTTGAACTTATCTCAAAAGTGCGTGATTTATAGGCAACTCATGTACTTTACGCGCGATCATTCATAACTAACACGCACACAAGTTCATTTCAAAAGTATACGACGCATTTATGAATAACTTCCGCAATTGTCAACAAGTTCTGATTTTTAGGGAATAAAATGGCAATTTTTTTGAAAAAAAAAAAAGAGTCTGAACCTCCTGTGTGAATTTGAGCACCTTTAAAAAAGCCACCCTGTATAACTTTGAGTCTGTTTGATGGCCTTTTAGAAAAGGTTATAGCGAATAAAAAAAACATTAATAAAATTCAGAAGGATCAGAAATTACCGTACGAATGAACAAAATCCCAAACGAATAAAATGAAACCAAAAACATTAAAAAAAAATCCAAATTCGCCGAGTCACCTCTCCAGCCTTCGGTGTCGTCGAACACGACCACCTCGCCGTCAGCGACGACCGCGATGGGGCTGCCCTTCGCGCTGACGTCCGCCTTCTTGTGAGGGTCTAATATCGGCGAGCTGTTCCTCGGTATGCCCATGCCGGACGCGTCGCCGTTGGTGTAGGTGGGCGACGTGTGGCGGGTCACCATCCTCTTCGGCTCGCTGATGATCCGGTGGAGAGGTATCTGCCGCGGTAGGTTTGTCGCGATGTAGTCGAAGGCGACTCGGCATGTCGCGATAAGGCCGTCGGTCGAAATCAAAGCCGCCGCGGGGTATGGCGACGCTGCCGTCAATGTCAAAGATGTCACAGACGGCGATGCCGCTGTCAATGTCAAAGTTGTCGCGATAAATTCGTGGAAGGCGAAGCCGCCGCGGGGGCGATCCCCGATTTAATGGCCTGCCGCTCGCACCAGATTGGATTTAACAGCAATACGTTTACTTCAGATTCCAGATTGATGCCATGAGAGATTGTCTTATTACTTGTTGACTGTAACTGTACTGACTTGTATATATTAGAAGATTAGTTATCTAAACCTTACCTCATTGTTAACGTTGTCCGTGTAGTCTATAGTGTCTTTGGGTGGAGCACGCTTGTTCCGTAAGTTGTGTTTGTGCGTGTTGCTATGGCGCAACTTGCGCACAGCCTTCGTCCGACTCTGCGAGTACAGCTCTCGGCCGCCCGCTATCTCGATTATCCTGGATTTTTAATAGGCTCATATTACTATTACTGTCGTAAAATCGACTTTTCGTCGTCCTCAAGATATTCTTACTACAAGAGAAACTTACACGGCAATGGAAAATTTTGTTCAAGATAAATTACATACATGTTACAATCTTAACACTTTAAATTTCTTATGAACGGAATAAAAACACTAGTCATTTCGTGATCTAAGAATTTTTTTTAATAGAAATTATAATTAAAATGTGCAGAACAGGAATTTCATCTAAAGTGCAGTACTACAAAAAATGGAAACATTTTCGAATATTGCAAAAATTGTATATTAAATAAATTTTTTAACAATTAAATAAATATAAATAAATAATTATTAAATAATTTTTTTATATTGAAATCTGTACCCCTAGTTCGGAATCGACGGGTATCTCAAATTTAAATCAAAAATCCAAATGCAAATTTTTATGAATTTAATAATATAATGTATAGGACTTATATTATAAAAGGCTGTCAAAACTTCAGGTATGTAACCTCAGTGACATAGATAACTTTCCCTTATAAAGATACCTGGAGTCTCTCAGTTTGTAAGTTCCCCCCTTCGAGTTGAGGATGACCAGTTGGCTATCGGCGGTGCGCTCCTCGTCAGAGGAGACGTTGTTAGCGTTGTTCATCTCGCGGCCCTCTACGCCGTAGTTCAGCCTACGAACGGAGACACGGTCTTTTACATGCAACCTTCCCATTCACGGGCGTTCTTTACTTGCTTGCTACGCTTTCGGGAACAGGCGGCACGGTCACTGCTACGAGCTCTAGCTAAGTTCTACGAAACTTACCACCGCAGGTGTGTAAGGTCTACGAAACTTACCGCCGTAGACATGAATCTGGTTGTCGTTTACTTCGAAACAAACTAACTTAATAGTCTACGACTGATCCGCGAAAATAACCCTCGCAGATTTGAGTACATTAATCATTATTTTTTTACTGCCCTATATTCAAATTACACTGACTTCATTATTTGTTAATATATTGATAAATGTCAATGATCAATTTACTTGAAAGAATTAATAAAATTAAAAAAAATGACAAATAATCGATATTAACGAATAATCTGACTGGTTTGAATTATTATATTAAATAATTAATACTTTTGTATGCTAAGAACAAAGCACTTACAGTACATATGACAGCATGTCCGTATATTATTATTTATTTGTAATGGGGAATAGTATTAAAAACATAAAAGGATTTAATAGTAATGCAAAAAGATTTCTCTAATTATCGACTTCAAAACACACACAAGCATACACACCGTAACTAATCCAGGGCTTAGAAGCGTTGTCTATGCAAAGCTTTGTACTACTCATACATATATAATTATGGCGAATAAAGACATAAAAACCTCGAATCGAGCAATAAGTAAATACAGAATGTAATGAGTATATTTACTTCAAACACAGATATATTTTCATTCAAAAGGTATTTGGCTAAGTCGTCATATAAGACGATCTCTTAATTTATTTGGTATCAGATAATTTTGTGAGTATAAAGTAATTGTTTACTATAGACATAACAAAACACATTTAAAAGTCTCACAGCGATGCTTTGCTATAAAAACTCTTTTTCTAAACTCTTCAGGTTCTATACAAATATTATTTATTAGTATAGCTATTTTTATTTATGAATCATGATAAAACGATTCATTCATCGATATCATTCCTAATTTTGTTTAAATCAATTTGCTATAAGCATTAAAATCTACACGATGTAGCACTCTACGAAAGCAATTCACATCGTAGCACATATTATTGATTACAGCTTTTCCTCTTTTTAAATATTACCCCAACTTTAGGATAAGATGTTGTTTTGTAGGAAAAAGTTAATTGTAAATTATTATTGCACTCTGACAGGGGTTTTAATGCGAAATAAATATCTGTTAGTCACGTCACAAACTACCCCGTGCTACATTCAAACCGACAGCTGAAGGCGTAGAAGCTAATAACGTAGCAACATCATCCAACCATCATCTTCAAAACCGTCTACGAAACTCCTCCATCAGATGACAATTAGACGTGATCACGTCTAAAAGCGAGGTAATAAATTCCCTCCAATTCACACACGTCACACGGCAAGTGTAATCGCGCTACGCTCCGTAGGCGAATGAGCGTGCGCTTTATAGCCGTGCGTGGGCCGTTTCACAGGCGGAGGCGGGCGCGGGGAGCAGGAGCTGGTTAATAATGGCACCGCTCGTAATTAAACTGCGATCGTGCGACGGTTCGTCGGCAATAAGTTAGCGGCGGGTGCGGCACGCGAACCGCCAATTACGTGACGAGCTACGGACGTACGGTTTCTGATTGTTCGAGGCGAAAGGTGCGGGGGGAGCGGGGGAGGGGCTGAATGGGGTTGATGTACTCCTGGTGGAATTCGAACAGCAATACGATGTCTTATAGGCGTTCAAATATCATGTAGCCGTAAATATGAGGAGTATGTATGCAGTGTTAGAGGAAATAGGCAACTATAGTAGCATAAACGAGGCCATTCCCATTGGCTTTGCCATTCATTGCGCTTATATTAAAAAGATTCCGACGAATTCGACCTATTTTGAAGTCGGTTAAAAAATCAAAAATTAACTAATTAAAAAGCTTGTATGCGTCCTTCTTCATGTCGCAACGGAAAGGTCGTGAAAAAATGGACTTATGTAGAGCTTGTACGCTGGATAATTTCATTAAGGTTTAACTTTATTTAAGAATTAATTGTTATATTTGGAATATAATCGCTCGCAAGGATCAACAGGTTAGCCTTATGTATAATTCACGATTAACATACTTAAATTCCAAATCTAAGCAGTGTTCTATTTAATTTATTTTCATTTAAAAACTTCTTAGTAGAATTATTTTTTAAAACGACGCCCGCGGTAACGATTAAAGTCAAAGCTCAACTTAATTCGACTAACAGCTTTATTGCATGCATAGGGCTCAAGATACGAGCGATGCCGAGTGGTCCATTCGTGGTTACTTGACTTGTGTGAATATAAATTAAATAATATTTAAATAAATAATTTAAATAATAATAATTATTGCAATACTGCAACATTGTTAGGTGGGTGAAGAAATTATTTTCGAATAAAAAGTGATATCGTTATCAAGCTGTAAAATAAAAAGATTACATCGATAAGCTGCAAGCTTTAAAGCAGGCATACATATTTTAGAAGTAATTATTTACGACGTACAAAGTTATGATATTTTTTATCAAGAGAAAAGATATTATTTATCAGGCGCGTATTGAGATTTAATATTTAAAATGATCAAAAATAGGTTTGTGTATCAAGCCCAAAATCGCACAGAAACGTCCTGTTTCGTATATTTGCGAACGTAAACCTCAGATATGGAGGATGGAGCTACATCTAAACCTTTGCAACCGCAGCCGCATTAACGACTTGAGGCAATGACAATGAGAAAACGACTCAATAACAACTTAAACGATTACATGTTCTATTTAAAATATAAGTTAATGTAAATATGTAGGTCCTTAATAATGTGTCTTTAACTGGCGATGTAAGTTGCACCAATTTTTTTAAATGTATATTACTGTTAGCAGAACAATTTTCAACAATGAAAAGCAGCTTTAGTAAACCTCTAAACTAGACTCACGCCTAACCTGAAAACAAAACGGTGCACTTTCACTATAACACTCGAGTACACGATCGAAATCTAAAATATTTTAAACTCGCACTACTCACATAGTCCATTCGCTACACAATGCATCATTCTCATTAAATCACACTGATCACAGATAAGCCACACATACCTTTACATTCCATTCCATAAACAGAAACTTTCGGGACTTAACAGCAAAACGAACGAGAGTCGAGCGAGTGGTAGCCGAGCTTTGTGTGGCGTCTGTCGTTTATGTCACGTGTTGTGTGTACACGAAATAGGGGAGCGGGTGTCACTTCTTTGTGTGTTCGTGTGCGTGTTACCTATCGTGCTGGTGCTGCATGTTCCTCGGTCGGCACTTGGGGAAGAGGCGTGTGATGCGGTCGCCGTGGTCGGAGCCCGGCGTCGAGTCGCCCGCGCCGCCCGCCCGCAGCGCGCCCGCGCTCATAGCGCCGCCGCGCTCACACCGCCGCCGCCTCTACCGGCACACGCCACCCGCTTAGCGCTTGTACTCTGCACCGCCGTAAGCTCGGCGCACGGGCCGTAGCGTTTCGTAGCGTTCGCAAGTCCCGTAGCGTTTGCAAGTCGCTTAGCCTCGCGGCGCAGTAGAATATAGTGATAGTACAATAGACGTATTTTGTTACGAGTTTACGCTTGCAAAGGTCACGCCGGCGGTGGTATGTACGCCGCATTGCGTCGCTTCGGAATACAATAGTGTGACTTTAGAACAACTTTTGTGTTTTACCCGCCGTCATTCCATTGTTACCCGTCAATATTTGTCAAGGTTGCCGGTGGATTCGTGAATTCGGAATTCAACTCGTCACGGCGTAACACAACAATATGACATGTAATCATTTTTTTTTAAGTCGACGCAAGATGCGATTAGCGACTAATACATATATCACGTTCCTTATGAACACGAAACTTTACAATAAATTTAAACTTCTCACCTTCTTCATTCTGATCATATTAATAACGGCTGTAATATATTGGAGGTTGGGGACTTGTGATCTTAAGTCGCGGGTGATGGTCTCGGTGCAATAATGAGATATCCGTGTGAGATTTCGAAGTTTTGCAAAGAAATCGCTGTCTCAGAAATAAGTTCAGAGAACTGTGATTGCTATACTATTGGGATATTTAAGGTTAAATAAACTCTAGCCTTCATATTAAACCTGTAAACTTAAACGGCCGTCAATATCTCGACAAAAGACATTGATCATCTTTTCATACGGAGACATGCCCTGATGCACGCGCTTTCAAACTTAGCTATTGAATATTTTAAATCAATTATGATCTAGATCTAGAATAAAATAACTTTTTATACGATTAATGCTGTAAGAGGTAATATATATTTACAATATTGACAAATACTAATGAAATTACTCGTTATCTAAAAAAACTAAAATACGGGCTATTATAATACAACACATTTGACACTTCATCAAAATTCAGTAACGGAACCTTGTAACGGAGGGCACACAATATTATGTGTTTTGAAAGAAACATATTTTTTCCGCACATTTGCTTAACATTTCCAGTTAAAATACATAATTACAATTACAATATAATTATTTACTGTAATAATGACAAAAGAAGGCAATCTTACGATTTATTTTGATTAATGAACCATAATAGACATAATAAACAATTTTTGTTCTAAAAACAGTACATCGTTACAAGGTTACGGCGAAACCTTTTTCTTTTCAAGCACTGGGAATGTTAATTGGTTTGTACCGAGAGATTTATCAGTCGATATGTTGAATTTAACGCAATAATTATGGTGACGGAATGTTTAACCATAAATGATTAGCCATATTTTAATTAAAATAAATCAGCAGTGATGAAGATGACAACGATAGTTATAATTATTATTCTAATAGTTAGACTGAATGAAAGACGATAGAAAATAATAATGAGACAGGGATTTGTGTGATAGTTTTTTATTTCAATTCAAATAAAATTACATTTCCCATACGTACTTTTTTACGTAACTATATTAAATCCACAGATTTAATTGATGTCTTTAAACGGGTCACCTCACTGTCAAGCTAAGACTGACAGATGTCAAATATGATCTATTAAATTAACCCCCATAGTATGGCCCACGCGGCATTTGTATCCAGAGTAATATTGATAATAAATATTTACGAATATTTGCGAACTGTAAGTACCTAATATAGTGAAAATTGACACACATATTACATTGTGAAATGAAAATAATTTACGGATTTTATCGCATTTAATTAGATTTTTAAGTTCCCGACGTTTCCAACCCTTTGCAGCGTTCACGATCACGTGACCGACAGTTTAGTTTTATAAACTGCGCATAAAAAATACATTAAATCAATCAAAAAAATATCAATCAATTAAAGATAGTACCAATGGAAATAGATAATGTTGGGCAAATCAAATGGGTATAAAACCCATCTTACACATTACAATGGCACGCATTATTTGGCGGCAATGTTTCATACGAGTATGTTAAAATGTAAATGCACAGTAAACAATTTGGTATAAAGTTTAGCATTACTCAGCTTTTTCTTTAAAAAAATCGAGCCAAGACTAATGTCAGAATGAAGAATCGTATGCTTTCATATTTTAATAAATAATGAAGGTGACGTTCATATCACCTGTCTGTTGATCGATTTGGCTTCTATTTATAGATGAAGTGGACGTTTATATAGTGAAATGACGTCGTACTATTTTCTATGCCGCATGACTATTTTTAGTACCATAGCATTCGTTTTAGAGTCAAATAATAAAGAACGATTAAAACCTACCACACGCACAAATTTTAAATGGTATTCAAGAATTTGAAATATGTTTGAAATCCAAGACGCAAATAATGATATTCATTAATGATTTAAAAGTATCTAACATTGCGTGGATTATAAATTTAAGTTTGAATAGTATTAAAAATTTTACCGCTAAAAAGATTTACATAATTCACCCCACAATACAGTAAGCTAAGGACAAAATAGCGCAATAATTAACGTATGTATGTATGTATTCATGTAAAGAAATTAACGGCTGTAGAGAATCCCATGGGCGGCTCGAACGCTGCCTCGTGTAATCGCTCCGGCGTAGAGCTCAAAGGGATTTGCAGCAAAATCAAATATCGCCCAGTCAGCCGGTACAGCGGGGCAATCGGGACGTGCGCTTTGAACTAATGATATCGTTTCGGATCCAGCACCGCAGACGAGCAAACCAGCGTCCTCTTTCGTTCACAAACGAGCTACGGATACGATTTGGCATTAGTCGGCGGGTTACTTAAGTACGGAGCCGGGCCGATGACGTGTGCCGCATGGCACGGACCGTAACCGCTGCCAAACTGCCGGATCGATATCGCATTAGCGACGGGGCCACGAAATCCGAGGGTGGTGTGAAGGTAGCAGAGTGAGCGTATTATGTGAAAGGTAGATGGTATTTTAACACAATACAATTTAAAACAAGAAATAGTACCTACCACTTTGTGCGCATTTATTTGAAAAAATAACTTTTGCAACCCGAGGCATACATGAGTCTTGGTGGGTATTAACAACAACAGTAAGTATGCGATAAAATAAAAACAACTCTAAATAACGAAAAAAAAATTTTTCGTTTATTAATATTTGTCGTCATCGTCATCGCTGCTGCGGGAACCCACGTCTTCCGGATTTAGTTAAGCTTAGCGGTGGGTAAGCTAAGCGGCTGATTGCCACACCGAAGTCCATTTTTTTCTATAAATATTGTATTTTTCATCTTAAGTGCATAGATTACATTATAAAAATTTACATTTCAAAAAGCGATGCCGCAACCTCTCGTTCGAAAATCGTTGTAAGAAGACATTTGAAATCAGTTTTTTTTTTTGCGGTGGTTAAAGCGTCTGGGCGTGAATCCGGAAGACGCGGTTTCAAGTCCCATAACGGCGATAAACTTTTTCTACAAATTTTAACGTTTCATCTAGTCGCAGTGTAGCACTATGACAATTACTTATAAACGAGCGGAATGATCCCAGTGAAGCAGAAGTATTTTAAGTTTCATGAACCTTTTTTTTTGTATCGGGGGGGAAATCTAAGTTTCATGGCCCTACACAAAAGCGCCGACACGCAAGGCCCAATGGGGCACGGCACCATGGCTCTTTGCGAGGGTAGATTTATACGAAAGGTTTTATTGCCACGGACGACATGCCGGCCGTCGCCACTTACCACCATGCTTTATGTGTACAGTTCTGTTAGTTAACATTATTTACTCTAACGCTTGCTTTAACTGTAAAGACCTCTGGTTTGAGACTGATTACATATGTGTTATCTTCTTAAGTAAATTACTGTATAAGTTTCATCGCGCTGACTCAATTAATCATTATTTTAATGTTAACTGTGAATTATGTATGAGCTTAGTTGACGGTAGAAATTTAACGTTTGAAAAATCGTTTCCACAAACTGTAGCACAGGATATGCAGAAAAACCACCTCTAATAGTTAGTAATAGAAGTAGCTACCCGATAAACATCTACATTTTTTACATTGTAGTCAGTATTTCGTTACTGGCACGTTTGGAAGACGCAGCGGTAATAAAATATAACAAGCCGACCGTTGCGCATAAGCCGATAAACCGAAACGGGGACGATAAGCATAAAAGCTCTCGGAAAAAAAAAATTCTCATGATTTATTATTCACAGCAGACTGTTCCAGAACGTATATCTTCTTGAGAATGACGCTGTACTTTAAAAAAGGACGCCTCGAAGGACGAATAGCGCGCTCCGACGCAATGGAAATATAATTTAGATAGCAAACAATACGTTCCCACTTTCCCTTAATTATCTTTAATTAACGAAAGCGAACGTGGAGCGGGGATGGATCTTTTGAGCGCAGTCATGAACTGCTCCCCGCTTCGCCAATTAAAACGGCGCGGGTTCGAATTCTAGTTACTTAATGAATTTCGAAAAATGGCGGACGCACCGGGGTAATTAAAAGCCAATTTATGTGATTGAAAAGGGCGCACAGAAGCCGTTTACCTGGGAATTGAATATCTCAACGTCGTAATGGATGAGAATTTGGCGATTGGAACGAAATGTTATTTTCTTTTGACATCTTGTGAACACGCTCTTGGACTATTGGGAGCTTTCGTTATTGATATTTGACTCGTATCACAACGATACGACAACTGACATTTTAACTGACAGGCTCTAAGGATGTCTTTATGGAATCGGAATATAGCTATTTAGAAAATAGCCGAGTTATAGGCGAGCTCCTTTATGCCACTTATTGTTTAAATTAAAACTGCCACTACACGCCGATCTTCTGTGAGGTCGCGGTAATTCCCCGGAAGGACCTCCCCAATCGTGCAGCAACAAGACTGTTTCGGGGGCCTATTACAGTTAAATTTGTAATTTATATATAATTAAAGTAAGCTCGCTCAAAGGTTAAGCATAACTATTCAGCGAGGAAATGCAGCTAGCGTTCTTGGCACCATGTCGCGTAAATATTAGATCAATAAATTGTTAGACATTAAAGTAATATAAAGTAATTTGTGTTTTTTTATCCTCCGGTGGCAATATCCACAAATTATGTGTCTGAACATTTCGAACGTGTACAAAAACGTTAAACACTTTGCAAAATTTAATTCCTATATAACATCAGGAGAAAGCGTGCCGTTTTAATCTTATATACATACAAAGAAAACATTATTGAATTATTTTACGACAGAGCATCTCCGGATCCAACTCCTTTTAACGGCAATGCGTAACCGTCACGAAAGTCATGAAGGAGCAAGCGGCCAAAAGTAATTTACCCCCGAGGTTTATTTCTACAGACATACGTATTCGTTTATTGACACCACAGAGCCTAATAAAAAAAACTTTGCTTTTTATGGAGCGGGATAAAGCGGAATATTGTAGTGTCGTTGTAATATGTTAAACAGCATGATGGACGCGAACAAAGGGATCTACGCAGAATGGTAAAACTCTAGATAGGCGCAAT